ACCCTGGGTCCACAGGGTACATGCAACTTCCCTTAAGTGAGTGGGAGTTTCGTGCTCATTCCTAAGGACCGGATTTTGTTCTTTGTATGAATGGAAGTTTTAGCTACTGCTTGGAGAACAGCATAGTTAAATGTGTAGACTGCTACCTATTGAATGAGTCTCTTCACCCTGTGGTATATTTAAGCACTTAAGGTTAGCAGAAAATAGATGTTGAAGTCAAGTTCCATATTCAAGCCTGGTCTTCTGTGATCCTCTTGTGATGAAGCCTTTGGCAGTGGGGTAACATCCATACAAAGCAGCAAAATCTTCTTGTGGCTATATTGCAGTTGCATTTCAGTGCTATCTCTGTCTGCAGATGTATGGCTTTCAGATAAATTAACCTTGGTTATATATTCTAAAACAGCAAAGCTGGAATCAGTGAGATGTTTGAAGGACACCAGGGACCAATCACAGGTATCAACTGCCATGCAGCAGTTGGACCTGTAGACTTCTCACATCTTTTTGTCACCTCTTCTTTTGACTGGACAGTAAAGCTTTGGACAACTAAGGTAACTTAAATAGATAGTTCAGTGGTTTTCTTTGTAGTCCTTGACACAAGGTGGTGCTATAATGTAAGCTACTTAAGAAACCAGTAAACTGAAGTCAAATCATGTGAAGTTCTCTAGGTACCTAGCAGCAGTCCTGCAAAGAGGAGACAGCTGATGAACAAAACTACAGCTAACATAAAGCTTTGCTTTCAGACTGTACATCATTTGTATACTTCTGATCCATTCTGTTCATCCTTTTGCTCTTTGTTATCAACATCAACTACAATGTAATCAAATGTAAATCATGTTACTTCATATTATGCATAAGGCAAATGTTTTGCTACAATTTTGTGGAGGGCTAAGGAACAGCACCAAAACCGATGTCAGTTAAACTCCATGAGGATCACAGTTGAAATATCTATCATTCCCATTGCCAGTTTTACCTCTTTCTGTGTTAGTTTGGTGCCCTGAGGAATGTAAAGCAAAGGAATTAGAGTTAGAATCTCCCAGTAACAGTCTGAAGTGCTGCCACTAAATTACCACTGGCTTGATTTACAAGATTCTTCATGCATTAAATTTACAATCCCTTACAATATTGGCTTGCTACTGATTTGTTTTATAGTAAGTAGCAGCCAGCAAAAAGGCTGCATGCTTTGGAACGCATCCCTTTAATAATAGCATTAATTTTTGCTGCTTTTTGCAGAGGCATTTCTTTAAGTCAAAATGGGAATCACTTTTTAGTTATTGCTGATAATGCTGTTGAGAAGTTCTGTATTTTGCTTTACCTGTTAGCTTTATAATTTTGAAGTACAGAGTTGGGTGTGGCTATTGCACTGTTATGTTTGCTTTTTTTCAGAATAACAAACCTCTCTACTCCTTTGAAGACAACTCAGATTATGTTTATGACGTGATGTGGTCTCCAACTCACCCTGCCTTGTTTGCATGTGTGGATGGGATGGGCAGGCTTGACCTGTGGAATCTCAACAATGATACTGAGGTGAGGCAGTCAGGTTAACAGACCAATGTAGCCGGAAAAGTGTTTGTACATTAATAAAAAAACAAACAAACAAAACAAAAATAAAAACAAAACGAAAAAACAACAACAACAAAACAACAAAAAAAAAAAAAACAGGAGTTTACCATAGTGTTTTGATTTGGGTTTTTGTTGTTAAATACTCTGTAGTTCCAGTAGTTTCTGTGTAATAGATATCATTCTTTGATTACAGGGTTGTAACTCAAATGACTCCTCATAATGAGTAACAATGGTAATTAAATTGTTTTATCTTTAACAAGAGTGCAGAACATCTGTCGGTGTAACACTCATCCATGTTGTGAAAGTGATTATAGACCTCCCCCAATATGGCCTTGGCAGCCTATAGCTTAACAGTGGGAACAAACCTGTTGCCCACCCACTACCGTTGTTCCCATTGCCATGTTACTATTGCTATAGTAACACTGCAGTGAAATGGTAATTTATTTCTAAACTTAGAGAATTGATTATTTGTGTTTTCTGGTGTGAGTTACAAACTTAATCATAGTATAAATCTTTTTTATGAGACTTAAACTTACCAGAGGTAGGTGAAAGCAAGAACCTGACAGATATTCAGTACTTAAAATCTACCTTCTCAAAACTGCATATAGAAGAAAGAGCAGTTCTGTAGGAGCATATGCCAGCTTTATGGCTTCAAATCGGCATTACTCAGTTTCTAGGCTTTGGACAGGATTTGACCTGCCCAGGCAGCTGATTTCGCCTCCTTGCTGTCTGACTGAATGCATGTCTGTGCCTCCTGTCTTATGACAAGAGTGCAGATGTACTTTTTGATAGAGGATGTTTGTACTTTGGCCAAGGGACAGATGATGTCTTCTTTTGGTCGTGTCACTGGTGTTGGCTTAAGGCCACTGAGAGCCTTTGAGATCTACCTACTCTGCATCCATTGAAATGTTTGACAGTTCTTTTGATAAAACACCAGGGGTCTGGGCGTGTTCTGTAATCTGTAGCTTATGGAATCCTCGTGCATTTTTAGCAATGTGTTTTAAATGGATATAGGTGCCAACTGCAAGCATTACTGTGGAGGGCAATCCTGCTCTGAACCGTGTGAGATGGACACATTCTGGGAGAGAGATTGCTGTGGGTGATTCAGAGGGACAAATAGTTATATATGACGTGGGAGAGGTATGTATAGCATGTATTGTGCAAAGTACATTACAAAACACTTGAGTTTCTTTGACTTTTATTTAGCAATTTGCTTTTAACTTTTTTGCCCTGTGATTAGAGGGATAAGGTTAAATTTTTATTTTCAAATTAATGTTTCCTTTTTGTGTCTATTTCAAATATTCTAGCACAACTTTCTAGCATGCTACCTAGCAGCCAATCAAAAAGTAAAAACATTATTGTAAGGCTGGTGAAATAAGATGAAAAAATCGATGGTTTTGTTTGTAGACATTTTGTCATCTTTGTACCTGTGACACGTGTGAATTCTGACCATAGCTTGAGAAGTACTGAACAAAATATTTTGCAGTGAAGCAGTCTTGACTTCGTTCCTCCAGGAAAGCTGTTGCTGCCACAGGAATGTGTACTGCAGTAGTATGTATCTAATTGATTGGATGAGTGAGGATATGGCATTAGTATTCCCCTTTGGAGGCAGTCTCTCAGATGGAGATGTAGCATGCAAGCTTGTAGTAGCATCATTACATACTTAAATACAGGATTCTCAAATTCTGCTTCTTTTATTAGTTAGAGCTTTTGATGTTCAGACTATTTTAAAAGTTACACTAAATAAAGGTAAGCTTTTCTATCAGAACCTCTTCTGAATACTACTTAAGCACTTTGCTGTTTAAAATCAGCTGGTTTTATTTGTCAGTATGTTTAAATAATGTTCTCTTTGTCAACAGCAAATTGCCGTTCCTCGCAGTGACGAGTGGACTCGATTTGGTCGAACACTGGCAGAAATAAATGCTAACAGAGCTGACGCAGAAGAGGAAGCTGCAACCCGCATACCTGCGTAGATCTTTAAAAATAGGCAGCAGTGGTAGACTTGTGAATGATTTGATGCAAATCTAAAAAGTGTAAGCATGCGTCTGTTCAAATAATAGCTTAAGGGAGAAATACATGGATACAACTATGGACTTTGAAAATGTATTAAGATCACTGAAAATCAGATCTTGCATTGTCACTTTTTATATATAAAATTACAAGCACATTCTTGGATTTGTGTAACTTTTAATACAGTTAACTTTGACTTTGCAGGGAACTTCTTTTGCTGAAATACTAACCTGGTGTAAATTTGCTTTTGGGCTTCTGAAATTTCCACTTTGTAACAGTATCTCTTTCTGAAAAGTAAAAGTTCTGTTTCTAAACTAAACTTTCTATATTACACAGACAAACCTTCATTAGATAGTAAATCTCTAAGCGTTCTTTAATTTGAACTCTTCAAATTACCCATGGATATGCATGCGTATGTTCCAAGTAAGTTTCATTGTTTATATATAGGTAAGCCTCAGGCTCTGGTAGTGGGTAATCTATGTGAATAAAAATCTGTCTGTAGTTACAAACTTATTTGATAACTGGACCTGAATTAATGAAATACATATTTAATACCAAGTTCCTTTGTTTGAATTAGTGCATTAAAAGGTGAGACTGATTCATAAATAAAATATTATATGAGCACTTACCAGCTGCCCTGACCCCTAAACTGTGTCCCTTCAGTAGTTTAAAGTTCATGGGAGCTGCTGCTTTCATTTTACCATGTGCATCACAGAGTTGTTTTCTACCCCAACCTCCACTTCCTACTACGGCAATCAGCCAAAAGGAAGAAAGGCTACTATTGTCATTTTCTTCTTTTCCAAAGGATAAGGAACTAGATTTTGACTTAATTTCTATAGCATGATGATTTGTGTTCTGTTAAATAGAGATTTGCTACTAATTTTCAGTATTAAAGATGTTTTCATTGCTTTAACATTTTTATTGAAAAACCCCTCAATGGCCTGAAACAGAATGGTTGGAACTTTTGTTAAAGGTTAAATTTTTTAATTACAGCTTTCTTGAGACATTATAAAGTTTCCCATTGAGACGGGGTTTAGGGTGGGGGGGGGGTTTACCTTTTTCAGGGTTTTTTCTATTTCTCCTTGTCTCAGTTTTGTTATGAGCAGCTCATAGATATAGGCAGCAGTGGCAGCAGTTCCGTCTTCAGGAGGTTCTCTTTCTCAGGAAGTTCGAAAGGGAAATGTATTTAGGTTTATATTGGTGTTGGCTTGTCAAAAGTCCCCCCCCCCTTTTCAATGCAAAGTCATGCCGTTCAGTTTGACCTTTTCCTTGAAGGTTTTCCTCAAACTTACAACAGCAGCTATCTGTTCAGTTGAGAAACGTGTGATCTACAGATCATGTGATGATTTTTACCCTTCAGGCACAAGAATTCTTAGTGAACAGAATGTTCTGTTGTCTTGCTGGGTTTGGGGGTTTTTTGTTTTGTTTTGTTTTTTTTTCCAGAGATTGTCCCTTCTCATTTAATAATACGTTACAGAAATCCAGTAGGTAAGGCTTTCTTTCAGTGGATTGTGACATAAACATACAGGTCATCTGGTATTAATTTTGTGTAATTTCAGCCTTTTAATAATTTTCAACAAAACTATTCTGTACTCATTCCTGTTTGGATTCTTCCTTCACGGAGTAGTTAAAAATGGTGTAACAGTGATACTGCATCATGTAACATGCTGCTAGAATACTGTAAATGATCCTCCTGGGAAGCCACACTGTCCAGTTGTGGAACTGTAAGAAACAGAAATGCTATCTTGCTTTGTAAAGTCTCCCAAGGCCTTGATCAAGTCCGTCAGCAAGCTGTGACTAAGATTAAATGCCAGTGGGTACCTACCATTTTTGTGTGTATTTAGAAAAGCGCAGAACAAAATATGAAGATATGGGAGAAAGTTCCTGGGAAGCCTGTCTCTAGAAAACTGCATCGAACAGGTAATTTTTTAAATGGAAAAAAAAGAAAGAAAACAGGAGGCCTTCTAGTGGGGTTATATGCATGTTGCAGAATAGTGATCAAACTCCCAGGTTCCATGTATTCTAACCTCTAACTCACTAGGTGTTACTCAACACCAAAAGATTTTGCATGTTGCTTAGATGCTAGAACTGAAGTATGGCTTGTCAGTGCTTGTCGTGTTCAGTTTTTAAGAAGCCATTTCTTCATAATCTGACTAAAACTCTTCATATTGGCCTGCTGTCACCCGAGCAAGAAAATAACAGAACCTCAAATGAGTTTATTGTGTTGGGATACACTGTTCTCCAGGGTGCTTAACCTGAAAGAAAAATGTAAAACTAGACTGGAAGTTGTCATTCGTACTGCAGTAAGCAAGGCTGGAAACCCACCCATCTCATCTCTGGCTGTATAGTTAGTATAACCAACCACTTTTCCTCTAGGACTGTAGAAATCTAGACCCCTATTTTCTCTGACATTTTTGCATTTAAAAAGCATACCAGATAAACTTCTGGCAGACATTGAGCCAGAAGTAGTTCAAGCTTTTCCTCTCCCCTCTCCTTTTACTTAGCATTCCACTCAACTGAAAGTGTAAACAATCAGTTTTGCATAGAAAAAGAATATAAAAAGTAAGTTGCTTTTTTTTCCCATAATAATCTAATCTTTCAATGGTAAAACAATCTAGAAATAAAGAGAATACCTTCACTTTTTTATTAAGTTTTCCATTCTGGGAAATCAGCACTGAGTAATAAATCCTGTAAAAATTCTAGAGTCGGCTAATAACTGACAAATATCTCATTGTGTTTCAAGTATGTTACTGTAGAGGTAAGATCAATTACACATTTAGTATTACCATGTATTTCGAGGGAATGCTTTGTTGCAAGGTAATGTTGTGAAATAAAATACTCAATCATAGAATACCAGGTTGGAAGGGACCTCAAAGATCATCTGGTCCAAACTTCCTTGGCAAAAAAAATTGCATGTGCTCATCTAATTACTGTGTCTTTCTGCACTTACAAGCCAGCACATTGCATTTTATTACCTTTGCTGGAACTAGCAGTAAAATGCATTCCTTCACAGACTAGGTCCTGTACTGCACATTTATTAAATGGTTGCATCTAATCTTTAATCTGTGGGGGGGAAAAAAAACATCACACTGAACAACATTCTATAAGCACAAAAAAAAGTGAACTGAAATAAGTCTTTCTAAATATTTTATTGTCATGATTGTTAACAAAACACCTTCAAAACATTCTGTACATTTCAAACTATTCTGAACTGCAATACCCATTATATAAATGTATGTATATAGATGCCATGATGTCTCTGTACAAAGATGTACAATATGTACAGTAACATTGAATGCAAGCTGTGCAAGGCAAAGTCTAGGCTACAGATTCATGCCACTTGTTAAAACAAGGCATAGAAACTACAGCTTCAATCAGTTCCTTGTGTGCAAATAAACAAATAAATGCAAGTATGTATTAATATTAGAAAGGAGTAATTAGATTTGCAAGCTCAGTTCAGCTCGAACAACATGCAGCTGACTGGAAAAAAATACAGTACTACTCTTGTGAACCTCTTCCACTGCATCAGTTAGAAACATCTTTTCAGGATTCAGGTGCTACTTTTTGGTTGCGCTGAGGTGATACCAGGAGATCGAAACTTTGGAAGATACAAACCAAATTTATTTTCTATACCAGCAAACGTAGCTGTAGCCAGTCTGTAGCCACCTATGTGCTCAGGGTTAACAGGAGGAAGATCTGAAATTCGAGTTTTTGGCATAGGTTCTGATCCAGAAGGCTTGCTGTTTGAAGAAAGAAAAAGAAAAGAAGCCTTTCCTTTATTTAAGTGTTTCCTTAAGCCTGAATACGAAATCTAGACTAAATACTTACGGCTTTTGGGTGAATATGAAAACTTTTAAAGCTGAACTTAATTAATTCAATTCTATGGTCAAGTTCAGAGTACTACTTAATGGGAAATCAAGGCCAAAAGTGAAGTTACATTTTTACTGATAGCTTTGTAAATTCTTTTTTAACTTCCAGCGACACAGGGAAAATGGACAAAATATCTTGCTACAATGGAAATAAAAATTTTATGTAGGTTATTAAAATAAACATGAGTATGAAATGGCTTTTTATCTCATCTGTTTAGAAGTAGCATGCAAGTTTCAACTATATAAGGATGTGGGAATATTTTTTTGCATACTGATATTTTAATTACAGGCGTTCAAAGTCACCAAGCTTAAGTGGTCCCATGCATGAAAAAAAGTTGTTTTTTTTTTTTAATTTGGCAAGTATTTTTGTGCAAGCTAAAAAGCAAATATTTGACTTACAGGCCTCCAAAATCGACATAAAACCATCTTTGCAGAAGTTCATAAGTGACCAAAGTAACACCAAACTGGGGTGAAGATCTGAACACACGAGCTGTTAAATATTACAAATCATAGTGTCAATTTCTCATAAGCTAAACATTTTTAGTAAGATGTTATGTTTTTCAGACTTGGACCTTGTAAATACTGCTCTGAGTCCTTAACAAAGCAAGTGCTAACTTGCAGATTTGGGGTCAGCCTTAATATTCAGAGTGCATTTCTCACCTGCAGCTCCCTTCCAAAAAGCCGAAGGGCCTTCTTCCCTTAGAATCTTTCCGAAGCAGTCAATAACTCCACTGTATGTTGTCTGACCAGCGCGAGCTGCCACTTGCAGTCTTGTCTTGATGACATCAGCAGGGGTTACCAAAGAAGCAGCAGGCACACCTTTTAGAAGAAAACGACATTTAATTTGCACAAAGAATCTTGTAAAAGATGAAACAATTCTTACTGAAAAATACAACTGCAAACTTCAACATTTTTGCAAGGATTAGACATTACTAAAAATGCTAGTTCTTACACATGATGCTAATATAAACTGTTGTGCTTGGTATAGTCATTTTGAGTCTCTTCTAAATTTAAAGGCTATAACTGATAGTAATGAAACTAGTAAACTATCAACAGCAGTTCTCTCAACATCTTCTAGTGGTATGTCATCAACAGTAGTTTCAAAAAGGTAAGAGGCGTTTTTAAATTCACACATATGCTATATGTGTAGTAAGAGATATCCATGACAAAAATTAGTTGTGCAACCTTACTGTTTTTGCTAATACTCTACAACAGATTTTGCAAATTACACAAATGATTTGATTTGGGAACTTGAATCCTGCACATCCATTTGTTAAAGGTGTCAATAAGAAAGCTACTATTTAAGACACCCATTCTACAGAAATAGTTCTGTACTGCTGTTTGGAATATTCTGCAGGAGAATAGATGCTGCTTACTTAATAGGCAAGCCATAAAAAGACTGAGGGTGATGAAGGTGTTTTACAAGTCTGCTTAGTACCAACAGCATAGTATTAGCCAACAGTGATGCACGAACAAGCCTCCACTTCTAAGGCACTACTCTCATCTTTCGAGTCAAAGGAAAGGAGAAAATTTTCAGAAATGTACTCCACAGTATATAACTGTGTTATCTGAGATATTTCTGAATACTGTAAAAATTCCGTCCTCTTAAAAAGAGGAACCATCTTCTGACTTAGAATTTTGGCATTTATTTTTACTTCTGTTGAACTTTTACAATTGGTTAAGATTGAATTAAAAATTTAATAGTCACTGATTTGTATATGTGTTTATAAACTCTAGAGTGTCACTGATCAATTCAGGAGGTTTTAAAGAAAAACAGAAGCTGTGTAGTTAAGCCTACAAGCATACACTAGTAGCAACCATATGCAGATTTTCCTTTACAGGCAGATGCATTCAGGCTGTATTCCTCCCTGCTGCACATGCGTAACAGGAATAGATCACGTAATTGCACATTTGAAATTTACAATTCAAAAAGGCAGATTCCTATACATGCTATAAAACTAGGCCTACAAGATTTATACACATTTTTAATAGGGTTCATCACTTAGTATGAGTGACCCAGAAACACTAATCAAACAAATGAAGAGAAGCTGTGAAGTTTGCGATCTAAAAACTAAAACAGTGAGTCTTTATATGAGATGCAAGTTAAATAATTTTTTATATATATATATATATATATATATATATATATATATGCTTCTATGAGTACGGTAAGCTAAGTAATTTTCCATTTTTGGCAGCTCTGCAAAATTTGGGAATAAACGGGGCCACAACCCTGTTACTAGTTTCCTAGCTGGTCTGTCTCTCCCTTCTGGCACGAGGAATGTACCAAGTGGCAAACAGCGCATGCAGCCAAGCTCTGTATTCAGTCCACTATGGGAAACTGCTCTTTACACACCAACAGCTCATGACTGATGTATATATAGTGATTCCTTACGACGGTATCAACTAACAAAAAGTCTTTTCAGCCCAATGATGTTTCTAAACTGCACATATTCCAACACTGAATCATTCACGACTGAGAGGCTGCAGAGAGCTGGTTTTCATCCTAGTGAAATCCTCGGCAGTGCAGAATCTGGCCTTCTGTATCCACATTTTTCAATATCTACCACTGCAGTTCTTACATCTACCTATTTTTATACCACTTGCCATTTATAAAAAACAACTTTTTATCACAGCTGTGTATTCTCTTTATAGTAAGCATTTTTGAGAAGCCTTAAAATATTTTACATTTTTGAGTATGGTACTTTTAACTTCAGCTTCTTTATTAACTGATGCCCTATTTTTAGCAATTATATGTGAACAAAGTTTCTTCTCAGTTATTCAGGAATCCAAAACTAGGCAAGTCATTTTCTTCTTAGCTCTTACGATCTCTCATTTTGTGTTCATCAAAGATTCAAATTAGCCTTCAACTCTGAGAGCACAGTAACAAGTAAAACCCCATCGAGACAGACAGATCAAATTTGACTACAAGTTGCTGAGCTGCATTACGCTGTTTATCCACATTATGCAAATGTAATTAGCTCTCATCAAAATTACATCGCCTCCTACTAAGGATAACAGTGATCAAATTTAGATTAAATCAGATACAATGGTACAATACCCTTCCTTTATATAGGGCTACTGAATGAATATTAAATATTACTCACTGAAAGAAAAAAAAAATTACTTTAGAAAATATTCTGTGAAATTACCTGCAATGGCTCCAGCTATAAGGAGATTAAGCCCTCCCACATGGCCATTTTCATCAGCAAGCATCAGTTTACTATGAGCATAAACAGGAAAGTAGATTGCAGAAAAGGGAATGTCTCTGAGGAAACATGCTTTGGCACCCTGTCACACAGAAAAGAGACATAATACAAATAAATTCTGTAAATAAGGTTAAAATTGATATCCAGCAAGCAGCCTGAGCCCAGGAAGTACCAACTCTTGATGTACCAGGTAAAGAACAGAAAATAAAATGTCTCAGGAAACAGAAGATGTAGGGTTGAACTTGAAAAACTAATAAAGCACATCTAAAGTAAGTTTCTAGAATGACAAAGAGTCAAGGTTCATATCTAATTTCAGTCAGCAATACGTGACATCAATCCTGACATCAGTACCTGGGATAAATACCTTTTACATATGTGTCCAAATGTGATGAAGAAAGTGACAAAGGTCTGTCCTTACATCTTGCTGACAACAACCCACAACCACGGAAGCAGCAAGACACGTCCCTGCATGCCACTGTTTCCACCAAACACAAAAGCACTACTAAAATATCAGTGAGGACTGTAAGACCTCACACTGATCTCCACTGATTGTCATCGGGTTGACTGAAGAAGCTGCACTGGAAGGTTAGGGAAAAGAGGAAATCACCACAAAATGGGAGCTGTTTAGTAAAGGGAAGATACGGAGGCAAAACTAGCAGCCTATGATAATACTGCAAGGAGTAGCTTCTGGCTACAAACTGACATTAAAGAGTTCCTTAACAGAACTCAGCATACTGTAAGAACAGTGGAATACTCGTAATAAAATATATCTAACATTCTTTTAGTAACTTCAGTCATCTGTCTGCTACCAACTAAAATAGCTCCTTCTGTACAATGCTCAGATAAGCCCTTATATGTCCAAATTTCTCATTTGCATACCCTGAAAGCATGCACATTACAAAAACACCACTCCTTGCATAAATACCCAACTGGTATATTCCAAGCCAGCAGCTTCCACACAGTGGAGTCATCTGAGGCCGGTCACCCAGTAGTTACATTAACAGACAGTACACATTACAAACCCTACATGGCTTAAGCAGAAGACCTGATAAATTCATTCCTTCAATTATTTTCATGCAGATACTTTATGCTCTAAGATGAATTCTTACAGTTATCCACAAATGATAATGCAATTCTAAAGAACAGCAGAATTTTTAGTAAGCTCAGTTGCTTAATTACTGCAAACAGAAATGGCAAGTTTGTCCCATCTATCAAAACACTCATGATCTTTAGGAAATATAATGGTTGTGAATCTCATCTACCAAATTCAAAACAAAAGCTTCAGCTCTAAAACTGTATTTCCACGTTTTTTATAGTATTATTGCAGGTTTATGGACAAATCACGTAAAACAGTGTTTTCTAAGTGCACAGCTACTATAACTGCTGAATTTACGTATTACCCCTTGGACTGGCAGACGATACAGGAAGAAATACTCTTCCTTGTTTAAGAAAACTAATAGCTTCTGCTCCATTACATCTGATCTGTAATGACGGTAGTAAGTATACCTGCAGGGAAGGAATCTGTTGACTGGCATTCTGCTGAAGTACAGTATAGTAGGGGCTTTTTTTTTTTAGCAGAATTTGTTATTGACAAATCCCACCACTTAACTTCTTAAAAATCTGAATCCTACTAAACTCCACTACTGTTTCACTGCCATCAAATTATTAAGACAAAGAGAACACCCTGCTGCAAAGATAACAATAGAGATAACAGAGATTCAAAATAAACGTAAGGAAAACACACAGGGAAAGCTAAAGAAACTTTTCACAAAACCCCACCAAATGAAATGATCAGTGCTAGAAGCCAGCAGGTCTGCAATACAGGACTCCCTGTAGCTTGGCATAAAAGCCCAAAGGATAGAATGGGGGAGTATTTTTCTGTATCCCACTGCCATTAATATAGAAGTGGGTTTTCTTCAGTTTTCCACTGTGGGGCTGCCCTGCAGGAAGAGATTGGTTTTAAATTTAAGAGACGTCTTTGTTTTTAACAGGTTTTGTTTCAACAATGTGAAAGTTTAGCATCAAACATAAAATGATGAAGCCACTCAAAGCAGAAATACATACCTTATAAAGACCAAGGAGGCCTAAATCTTTTATAACAGAAAGGGCACTGACTCTGGGTCCTGTAGTAATTTCCCCTGCTACCTGCAACCGAATCTTTACAATCTCCAGAGGATTAGTGAAGATGACCTGGGAAGCTCCTGCCTGCAAACCCGAAGAAAAAGAAAGTAAATTGCGTTACTAGAGCATGTGGTGACAGGTTGACTTTTGCAAGGTGCTGAGTGCCTCCACTTCCCACTGTAAATATGAGAGGTATTTAATAAAGCATCTGTCTGGAAGTTAAAAGTCCTGAATCAGAAATCATGGGTTTGTATGGATTAAATTCTTACACTTAAATGTCTATAGTCCACAGAGGTGGATTAATGCAGTTGTCTCTGCTTTTCTGCTTGACATCACTTTCTAGAAGTTGTGACTGTGCTTAAAAGTCTATCAGATATTACAAGAAATACTAAATTAAAATAATCGTTAGATTTTTGCTACTAGAGCATCAAACACATATAAAGAAGACCTTGTATTTATTCAATAATAATCCATCACCAATGTGTAGACATGTTATTTTCATTTAGTGGTGATGCTGTTTAAAAGGTAAATTTGCATTTAATGGTGTAATTTAAATTAATAGAAAAGGTGTTTGTAGTTTTGTCGCAGCCTTTAATTGTCCTAAGGGGAAACAAAATATAAAATTTAAATAGGAAAAGTAACATTTTGAAATATAATACTAGATAGAAACAGGAGTCATATTTTTCTCTGAGCTGAGCACGACAGATATTGCATGCAGGAAATACTCTGTTATCAATGCTGAAGGACTATCTTGCAAACTTCCTAGCAAGTGTTACAGAGCTGCTTCAGATTCTGTATTTTAACAAAAGACTTTCAAAGAACTATGTTTCAGATTTGAAAGAGATTCAATCTGACAGTTCAGTTTCAGAAGCAGGGAAACCTGTTTGAACGGACATGGTTAGCTTTCTCCTTGGTTTGCTGTAGTTACTACCATTCACTTCTGGAGAAGTGTGTGGTTCATCACAAAACAGCTGAATTTTACTAAGCTTTCTTTTTCCCCTCTTTCCAAGCTACCTTTTTTCATTTAAAAATTAAAACCACTTTCTTAAAATTTATGGCATATAACCACTTGAATACAGCCAACTTTATAAAGCATTTCTTCCACAATCTAAAAACTCCTCTTAATCCTGATCTATTTCTCCAACCCACCAAATTTTAGTGAAGGAAAAAGATGCAGAACATCTGCAATTAAAGCTTTTTTCCTCTTCTAAATTGCCTAGGTAATAAACTCTCTTTGTGATGCTGAGGGTTTATGTGTGTGAAGTAAAAACTTTAGTCTGCTACAGCACCTCCTGGACACCGTTCATGGTGTGCTCTGCTAACTGATTCAGCACTAAGGAACACTAATCCTTTCTGACTATAGCATGGTCTTCCTCTCTCCAGCAGCAGGCAGAATAAATTTGAGATTAGCCCTGAAGCATGCCTTAGAAGTTGGTAACTTGAATTATTCTAGACAAGAAACAAAAGAGCATTGCAAACCTCAACAGCTCTTACTGAGAATGACCGAGCACTGGGCTAGTCTCTATGGGATGGGGGATATGAAGCATCAACATCTACACTGAGCAAGCAACCAATACTTCAACTGAACCTTCACTGGGCACACTGCCATCCTTTTATTGAAAGCCCCATTTATTACTTCACTCAATATTGACATTTAAAATTATCATTGTTAGGTCTTTACTAAAGCACCTTGACCCAAACACTGGGAGATCAATCTCTGCTTTTGATTAATTATCTCTATTCTAGCAGTTACTGTCTTTAGCACTTCCCACTCAAATGATCAGTCTTGGTTGTTAATCTTCCTTTTATTCCCTTACTTCATCTCCTCTCTGAAAGAAAAGCAAAGTCTGTATTTTTGTGGGCATTTATTGCAAACATCACAAAGGTCACCAGAACTCCCAGACCAGATAAACTGATCCCATCTTCTATGTTCCTTGGGCCTACTGGACTGTGTTTACTCCGTTACTTGACACCACTCGCATCTCACCTTTTCCTTCACAGTTCATATACACCTATGCATGCAAGATGAAATGGCTGTCCCTGCTAGGCAAAGTTCCAATCTAAATGAAATTCATAAAACTCACATCTGGCAAGTTCTATTAAACAATAACTGACTTTTTTGTTCATATTGCATTAAACAGAAAACCAATTTCAAATGCTTATAATTTCCTTACATCGTTTTTGAAAATAATTTTGGTAGATAAAACATTAAGCAGAATGCTCTTACTACATAATACAATGCAACACACAAAAAATTCAAAAAACTTTAAATTTAGACACTAAGCTAGAAATTCACTCCTTCTAGACAATTACCAGCTACCTTCTTATTAAATATGCATTCTTTGTCTACATACATATCTGTGAAATTCCATTTTTTATTTTTAATGTTAGAAATTAGCACATCCTGCAGAGCAGCCAAAATAACTCTTCCTATTTGCCTAGCACCCACCACAGAAACACAAATAGGCTAAGTCATAAACATTTCTATTTTCTACCCTGAATTCAATCTTCCTGCAATTAACATTCTTTTCTCCTAGGTGCACAACTGCCTACCTTTCTGTTAAAATCAGCAACAACCCTTTTCTGGTACAGAAATGAAAAAAGAAGACTCTAAACACAACACGTTTTAATAATTCAGTAGCAATACTAATCAGATATATATATAATGTTACAAATTGTACATAGTTAATACAGAATTATATATTATGCCAATATTAATATTAAAATATGAGTTGATGATCAGGTTATTGAGCAAAATAAAACCCTAACATGATTATATTAACAGTAGAGAACCATTTGAAAAGCTCTTTAATTACATTAACACTTTGAACATTGAGTATTTACAGTGTTGACAAACTTCTCAACAGACAGATTTCTCAAAAAGCTGTAGCTGTCAAGGTACTCAGTTAAATACTCTATTAGCAATATGTACTTCTATCTAAGTCTTGACTTTTCATGCTGTTATACTTGGAGCTTGGCAAACTTTTTTGCACAGCAGTGATCTGATTCACATGAAGAGGAGCACTGAATTCACTGGAGTTGCATGAATGTGTTAGCTCCTTAGACATGTCACAATACAGGTAAAACAAACTTTGCCTTTAATACAGAACATGTAACACAAGAAAACTCACATTTTCATTGCATATTTTTTTTAAAAATGAATGCAAGAGTTACTTTCTGTTTGGTTGTTTTTTTCAAGTAAATGGTTGCCTATCTATCTGAGGAAGAATGTGTGAGGTGGAGAAGAGTGCTGCCCAGGGAGCAGAGGAAGAGCACTCCCCAGGAGAGGGTGCAGAAGAGAATGACACAAAGGGTCCCCAAATAAAAATAAACTGGCAGTGTGCAGGGTTGCAATACAAGTCTCCACGCTTCTGTGCAAGTCACTGGCAATCATCATCATTCTTTTTCAAAATATCTGACTTCAGCTGTCAACTATGTATGTTAAATACACGTGCACATGTACATTGTACACACAGAGGTATATACTGCAGTCCCTGAATTTCCTTTGGAGAAGGTGTGCTAAATCTAGATTTCTCCCCATAAAAACCTCCCTTCACACATAAATTACAACAGACACTTTAAAAAAGGTTGACAAATTTGTTTCTGAATGGAGGTTATTCATACACATCAAAAATACCAGTAATAAAAGCTTCTACTTAACCTTAATGTCATGTAAAATAACTCTACAAGGAGCAAATAAAGGAACCAAATCTGACAGCAAAGGTTATGAGAGAAAATATGTAGTTTGAGATCCCTCAGCAAACGCCCCATGACATGCCAAAGGCTGAAGGAAATACACAAATGACCCTGCAACATGAGACCTCTTGCCCTTTCCAATTCCACCCGAGAGGCATATGCTACAAAGGGGGAGAGGCCTATTTCAAGCCCTTCCTTCCTTCCTTCCTTCCTTCCTTCCTTCCTTCCTTCCTTCCTTCCTTCCTTCCTTCCTTCCTTCCTTCCTTCCTTTTTGAAGCCACCACATCCTGGACCACAACCATGTACCATACAAGCAGCTAAAATAAGATGTTACTTAAAACGGTCTGGTTTAAAAACATCAAAAGAACTTGCACTTCTTTCTCAAGGCAAAGCTGTCATTGTTTGTGCACCTACAGTAAGCTTACTGTCTCTTTTAATAAAGAATAAATTTCTCCCTAACTTTAAATGTCTGCGGTTCAGCTCAAGATAAAGCAGTAAAGTTTAATTCTGTTTCTAACTTTATATGTTTAAAGTATATTAAAAGAAGTAGAATATCTTCAATATTTTGAAGGAAAAGTACTGACAGCTGTAATTCTTTATTTTTGTGATTGTTAAATAAAAACAGTATCATTTCAAATTACTTTTACAAAAATAAATATTTGACGTACTCCTATTTGCCTGAGAAGCCTATATATGTTTGCATGTTTAAAAAAATGTGAAAATTATTTTTAAAAATATACGAAGGTATTTAGACTATTACATTCAATGTTTAAATATGTAAGAGTTTTTAAAACAGTGGTAAATTTGGACTTCTATGTGTATGTATGCGCAAACACACCCCCCCACCCCCCCTAATCATCAACAGATGCTTTGCCTACACCTCCAAGAAGGGTTCTTAGACTCTTTCTGTCTGGCACCCCATATCCTCTTCCTCCCTGCAGCATGAATCGAAAACGTCTTTCTGATGAAACAGGATTGATTGATTCAAAATGCTACGCACCATGAACACTGCACTGATGGGGAGAATCCATTTTTTTCCCCCTGTGTAACTCACAGGAACTACAGCTTAAAATCACAACATCTTTGTCTACTGTAACAGTAGTTATGGATCATTTACACAGCATTAGATGTCTACTTCGATATCGCTTCCCAACTGAGGACCAACAGTTGCCCTACAGCACCCTGCCCTTCGCCGTGTACTCACATGCATCATGCGCGTAAGCTCCTTTGAGAAGCACTGTCCATATCAGGTATGCGCTCTCTGCTTCCCCAGCTGCTGTCGGGATACAGGAAAGCATTGCCGAAGCCTCACTCAGTCCCCCTGCAACTCAAAGCTAATTGTAGCTGAAAACTCCAAAGGCAGGAATACAGGCTAATCACTGAATTACAATGAAATGTAATTCAATTAATTACAGTAACAGTAGGGAAAGAAATTGTTTGCTCTGAACATGTGTAAGTGCGGATAGTGCTGTTGATGATTAACAAACCAGCATACTCTCGGGAAGGTGGGAAGATGAGATATCAGCTTCATCCATCAGGGAGCAGAGCCCTTTCATTGACAGATATGACCTGACCGCTGTAACTGAGCTGCCCCGTGTAGCTGTTCTGCAGATTTCAAATACAGCTACAGCCCAGGAGCAGCTGGGAATATTTGGGGTCTGACAGAGCAGACCCAGCACTTCCCAGTGACATTTACATTGCCCAGCAGCTAGCAGGTAGGTTTCAAGGAGCACAGGGCACGGGCTGCCTGCGGGAGGTCCCTGCCCTGCAGTAAGGAAGGAAAGACAACAGACAGGCCACTGCATGGGCGGGTGTCTGTGTTAATGGCTATGAGAATGAAAACGTTTCCTCGAATGGGAGTTTTTTCCATAACCTTACAGGAGCTGAGAGTAACTGAGAAGTAAAATTTTAGCCAAAGAGATCCAGTCTCTCGGAGTTACTGTTTCTGGAGGAGGCACATGCCTGTGGGCAGCCCCTTTGCTGGATGGTACAGCACTTCTTGCAGACACTCCAGAGCTGAGGATATGAACAGCCTACACAGGTTCTCTTGAATCACGCTGTCTTAATGTCGAAGGTTTCACCTATCCTCATGTGTGGGTCTTACAAGACTGTAACACCATACGTAGGCTTTGAGATCGCACTGCCATCCAGAGAGAATTTCCTAGGTCTGTTTGAGCCTTTCCCAAGCTGCCTCCACTTCCTCACAAGAATGTTTTTTGTTCCTGTCTGAGGACTGTGGCATGCACAATGTGCTTTTGTGCAACTCACAAGAGGGTGGGCCTCTGCTGAAAACTCTATAGAACAGCTGAAAACATGGCTTGCTCATCTTGCTCATCCACTACCAGTTCCATACCAGAAATGATGAAAAAGTGCATTATTCCTGTTAATCAGGAGAAGGTTCAACACTAAACACAGGCACATGATGGTCAGAGATAGTAGTAAGTGCATCTCTGAGAACTATATGCGGTCATAACACTGTTTCTTCTGATGTTATGACAAGGTGAAAAGCATGTTTTGAATTTAGCCTATATTTATAGTGTACTATTAGCAAAATATTTAAGTGCTGAACAATAAAGAAAAGCTACAAAAAAAGACAAGTTACCCAAATGCAGATGTTGAAAATAATTTTGGCATATATAAAACCTAAACAGTCCTGTGGTGATCCATCATTTTGTACTAACAGACAGCAAAGGAATAGAATAAAGGAAAAATGAAGAAAAGAGGTAGCATCACCCAAACAGTCTTACATGCCCCTGCAGATAGAAGGGGACTACGCTTACTTGCACTTCCTCAGATATAACTGTTGATTATGTCTTGTAATATTTTGTAGAAAAACAGTATACAAGGAACACCAGAAGTACGAGGATCAACACTATTTCCAAGCAAGTCAACAAAGCCAAGAGCTATCACAATGAGGACGAAAAGGACTGAGGATGAGAAAGACTAACGTATCAACTTGCTACTGCTTTAGTCAACTGAATCTTTCAGACTTTTACAATAAACTGTATAGGCTTGCTAATAAAGATTCTGGTATTTAGGATGAAGAGAAATTGCTAAAATGGAACTAAGCAGCAGTACAGACAGAAAAGTCATCAACTGGTTAGATATCAGATGACCCAGAGGACGCTACAAAGAAATTAATATCCCTGAGGCTTCTAAACTGTGGCCAGCTCCTCTCCTACAAAGGCCAACTTTGTTTAAAATTCTTCCAGATTGAGTGAGATAAGTATTACCTTGAGAAAGGAGATGAGAAGATCAGCTAAGACAGTCAGCTAGAAGAAAAGGTTGTGTTTGGACAGATTATAAATCTGCTCAGTTTCACAGAACCATCAAAATTTCTGCAAGTTTATCTGAAATTCAGATTTCTCCCCAATTTTTGCATGTTCACTACAGTAAGACAATCAAGTTATTTTGAAAAAGGAGTACCTACCAGGAAGTGGAGATGCCTCTAATGTAGATTGAATTTATTATTATACATTTCAGTATAAAAGTGTAAAATAATAAAACTTATTATCAGATGTTTGATTTTAATTATTAATTTAACCACAACACAGAGAAAAACACTAATGTATTATATTCACTTCTGTTATAAATGACCTGTATGTGCTTTTTGTGTTACTGAGCTTTCCAGAAAAAGGTTAGTCTTTTGCTAGCTACACATCACAGCTGCTTTCTCACATTTCTCAGAAAATAAACTTTGTACACTGACAGGTGAAGACTCAAGCATGTACCAGGATGCCAAATTCAATCAGGCAGAACTATAAGCAGCCTCCCTTCAGGGCTGCTTCTTTGAATTAAAAGTTTGCAGAGGTCAACAACCTTTCTGCCCCAGGTTTTGTTGTAAGCTGAGGAGGTTTTATACCAGCCTGTCAGCCTACTCAACTGGAAGTTATTAGTGTTCTCCACTACAAAAGAAACCTAACTCAACCCTTAAACATTCTATAGGGTTAACAACAGTTGTGAGTCCCACAAATTAAATTAGCCAATGTGCAAAACAACAACAACAAAAAAAATCTATCATCAATATCAATTCAAACTCCTTACTGATCGTTAAGAGATCCACTGAATTACAGCACTCAATCTCATCAAAAACACTATTTGTTTTTGAACTGTATTTAGATGATAGATGTAGTTAGTGTCTGGAGTAACGTAGCTACATTTTATATGAAGTCATTTAAACAGAAAATTCACTCACACCTATTATCTGAAAGGTAAGACTACACTGTTCAGTTTTCCCACATGTTCACAAACAGAAAAATGACACATATAGCAAGTGGAAGAGTGTATTTCTTTTCCTTCTTAAAATCTTGAGCAAGAAATAGATTTTTTTAAACGGTTCAAGCTCCCCACCCCCACCAAAGGAAACTCAAAACATGATCTCTATAATCCATTCTCAAGGACTACCTGTATCTTTCCAAACTAACCATGAACATCAACCCGAGCAAAAGTATGGAAGGGGAGAAAGGGCACCCTCTTTTTATCCTTTTGTGAATAAAACCAGTGCTGAAACTGAAAGTTTGAAACTCAGACAAAAGAAGTTGTTCAAGCACATAATTCCAAGGGAACTCAACTCAGAAGTATGCAAAGCAAAAATTACTTTTTTTAGTTCTTGTGAGTGGGAGAAAAAACAACAGTTCTGTTCAAATCAACAAACCGCACCCATTAACTATCATTCCAACTATACTGCACGTGACCAGGAATCAATTTTTCCTAGCAGTACAGGACAGATACTTACACAGCCTCCAGCAAGGACCTCTGCGGGGAGTGGAATGGAACCATCTTTCTTAGTAAATTTGTCTCTGACAAAGTCATTAACCTAATAAAGATACAATACATTACACATAATTTTATTTTTCCTCCTTATTAGCATATATCAAGTACATCTGAAACCATATATATTAGAGTGCTTGTAAGTGGTCATCTTTCACACATTTTAGGAAATAAATCCTGTGTATGTTAACAAACAAAAGGATGTCAGGAAAAAAAAAAAAAAGATACGTACAGTTAGCTTAATAGCCTTTTCTGGAGCAACACCTATCAGCTGTGGTAACAAGCCTATAGAAACAAAGACATCATAAGGCAACATTATCTTCCTAATACAGAAACTAGTATTTTATAAGAGCTCTACAGAAATGCCTTTCTGCACATGGGATATCCTTTGAGGTGGATGGCATTTAAGTATGTGATGCTGCTACAACACTGTATATTCATATCAATACAATTTTATATTAAGATTTCTGTTGAAAATGGTAATGAAAAGGATGACCAGATCCTCCTTCCACAACCAAGTCAAGCCTGATGCTCTTGCTGTACAGAAGGAAAAAAAGGGTAAAGACTGAACATTCACCTTGGATATGTCTACTACGTATGAGTTTGTTTGGCTTTTTTAGCCCCTTAATATAATTTTCCCATAAAGCTTGCAATTACTTTTTAAAATAGGAAAGTAATTGTGACCTATACACATGACCACGATAAATTATTAACTCACTTCTACTTGGCTCACTAATCTGAGTTTTCTCAAGTCTCCAGTCAACTAAGGATATAAAGGATTTTCTCTTGTTCAGTCCAATATGGTAGCATTAACTTCTTTAAACCCTATTGCTATTAAGGACTTTTTACTTCACCAAGAAGAAGCACCAGTGGGCAGAAACAGATTTTGAAAAGGCCCTCGCTCTTGGAAAATAGCTACTATCAAAATGAACTGCCATTTGACAAAAGCATATACACTTTTCCAGGCACTAATAGGTTTAAGAAAAAAATCAGTAGATGGCAGTCTTAACTTCCAAACATACAAGATTATAACAGTATCTGTTATTTTTAAATCCATTTTCTCCACAGTCTTTTGGCATATGTATAGGTTATAAAACTTAAAAGGCTTATTTTTATTAGAACGGTTAATTTCCTAATGTTATTTCATGGTTAGGGAATATCAGTTTGTCAAAAGCACTTGCCAGTTAACTAACAAAAAATCCCATGCTAATTATATCAGATAACAGCAATAGATTTCCACTATCCATTAAGGGAAAAGAATAATAGCTAAAAATTCATTTTAAAAGTTCAAAATTACCAGAAGTGCTCAGCCTGCAGATTTTTAATACTACTTCCTTAAAAGGAAGCTCAGAGCAAACACACCTAAATTGAAAATGAAGCAGGTAATATATGCACCGTAGTGTTTTCTTCCAACACAGTACTTTCTGTGCGATTTACAGACTTCCTACGCTGAGGAAAGGTAGTTATTAAATACAAATAAAGGCTGACAATAACAAAAAGAAATGCTGCCCTCCCAGCCTGAATCTCTGATCTACCATGAAAAGAAAATCCAGCTCTCCAGTGCCTAGACTTTAAAATCCCAAAACTACCAGACAAAACACCACAAGACAATCCCCCCCCACTCCCATTTATTCAGCTGAACTTAGTGGGCACACACATTTGGTGTGCCAGAGAACCTGGAACTCTGCATGGTCTAGTGAGGGACCTCAGAAGATACTTCATTAGTTCTGAAGTTGGATGCCAGGATTCAAAAGTGCCCTGATTTTCTGGACCAAAAATTATATGTTTTTATTTAAAAACATGAACTCTCCAGTTCATATTTTTTAAATTGCAGTAAATGACTACATTATACCATTATATTACAATACAATTAGGATAATCCAGTTTGGGAATACAAGAACCCTCTAACAGACCCACAGTCAACTACATAACTGTTTCTGTTGTTTAGTTTAATTTACTTACACAGAGCATCTAATTCTATGAGCCCAAGACCTTAGTAAAACGCTGACCATTAACTGTAACATTTTCAAAACAGCTACATGAATACCTTATACTAAACAATCTTAAAGACAGTTATTAAACAGACTACTAAAAAGTTTAACAAACTAATATTCTTTTAAAAACACATTTTTTCTCAAGTGTAAAGTGTTGCTTTTAACTATCAATTAAATCATCCTTGATTTCAAAGTGCTTGAGAAAGGTTAGTAAACAAAAATAAAAATAACAAATGTTCATTTTTAGAAGCTGATGTGCAAAACCATGTGGTGTGGGGGCAGGGCAGGAAGAGGAAGAAAACAGTACTGTAGAACAGCACTGTAGAAATAGTCTCATAACTGTAATTCAAGAACTGTTTGCTTTTGTGAAGGATTTAGCAACAAAAAAGGAAACCAGTTTACCAGTAAAACATGATTTACAGAGATTACAGCTATTTCATTAACATTTTCACTGATTTATTCCTCCCTGTGCTCACTCGCATAGCAAAATCTTGCAAGATTACAAAAAACTCTTTAGCCAGAATCCACAGACTTTCACATGCAGAAACTTAACAGATACTGTCCTTAAATGACACTGTTCAGCTTCTTCACTGACAGAACACATTGCAAAGCAGAAAAAAAGATTTTGACCATCACAGAAGTGACTTTGCTCCAACTAAAAAAAAGCATGCCAATTAATAAGTACCTTACTGATCCTTATGAAAATTGTTCATTTCACTAAGTTACATGAAATGACAATTAAAAATAGAGAATTCAACTAAGTATCAGTTTCAGAGGACTGGCTACAATACAACCTCTATGTAAACGACCTTAATTAAATAAATTAATAAAAACCCTTTCAGAATCTTCTAAGCTAAAACAAGATACAAGATAGCTTTCAATCTAACTGATAAAACTGATAAAAAGTTGCTTTGAATTCTTAACCTATATTATAGATGAGGTTTTTTTCTTTTTTTAAATTACAACTTATCTGAGTTCCACTGTTGATATTTTAAAGTAAAATAGAGCAACATAATACAACAACAGGATGCAATTACTTGTTCACACAATAAAATCATAAAACAAGTCCTACTACCTGCAAAAGTATAAGGCTTAAGATCTGGCATCCAGTTTAGCAGATACATTTCAAAATTACTGTCTTTTGCCTCTTAACAAAAAATATTTGCAGTAAAATGGATCTTTATTCCTCAGATGCTAATCTGTTCCTGGTGTTTTCCACCAGCCAAAAGTTACAATCCTCAGTTTATGAGATAATCATATCCACAACACTCACACCACAGAAATTAGGACTTTAAACAACCTAAACAGCAAGGAACAGATCAGTAACAACAAAAAAATGCAGTTTTTCCCAGCAATTGTTTATGATGGATGGTGCTCAAGGGAAGAGAAATCCTGAGCTCTATGAAACAAGCAAAATTGTATATGATATCAAGTTTCCTGGTTTTCCAATAAGAAACTAGTTGTTGAGGTATTAAAAAACAGGGCAGCAAATCCCCGACTTGATTTTTTTTTTATTCACTTACCTCTGTAAAGACCAAAAAAGCCTTCGAAACGCAAAACCTTTTTAAAGCAGTCAAAGCTGTTTTTATACATCAGCTCTCCTACGACTGAACCAGAAGAACGCTGATTCTGCATGCGAGTTTTCACCAGGTCTATGGGGTATACAGCAGTAGCACCAACAGCTGTAAGAAAGCATTTGGAGTATTATTTCTGCAACATCGTTGTTGTAGTAGTATATAATTATTATGATGATTTCCTACAATGTTTATTTAAACACAAAGAATATATAAGCTGGTAAGATCTCTGATACATTGGAAGTAAGAAAGGACAATACTGAAAGTCTAGAAAAAAGTTTCAAGGAGAATGAATTACGCTATTACATAAAACAAGGTGTGTAGAACAAATGAAACCAGTCTGAATTACCAGTAAGGAAATTCATTACTGGAGTAGAGTTTCAGAGGACTGTGGATGGATACTAGAACAGAAGTGATATGGAAAGAAAGGGAATGGCACAAACAAAAGTGGTTCCACCCTCGAATTCTTCACGTGTGTAACTAAAAAATGTACCTTAGATGTGACCACACAGTCTGGTAAGACAGTGTTAAACTAACCCAAGCTTGAAAAAAAAAACCCAGAAATATTACTCACCTCCAGCAATTGAGCCCAAAGTGAACCTGTAAGCTGACTCGGCTACCTGGAGCCAGATAGGCCTGCCTAACTCTCCAAAAGACTGCTGTGTGAGGAGAGAAGAAAGAAAAAGAAAAAAAAAAAAAAGGCTTTAAAATCTGCATGGGAAAACAAAGATGGCTGTGAATTGGCTTTTATAACATTACAGAAAGAATCTGATAAAAATTGGAAGCTTTACATTAAGGAGGGGGAAAAAAAAATTTACTATGTAACTTCCATTACACCTAATGAATGAAACACATTTCACATTTTTCAAATACTCTTTTCAGAAAATATTCTTCCTTACATATTCCTAGTACAACTGAAATAGCTATGGTCAAGAACATGTAGACAGAAACTCAAATCACCTTTGCTATTTTCCATTATGTTGCCTTTGAATTTGTAAGGCATGGAACCCCCTTTTGGCTCAAATAAAATTCAGTATCTCAAAAGGAATTCAGTATTTCACAGAGAACATCTATCAGCATGGGATATATTTTAAGATTACATATACATTAATACCTAGCATAAGCATGACATTTCATGTCTTCAAAACAAGCAAAAATTCAATGATTCCCTAAAGTATTCTCCACAGTTCTTTTTCAGGAAGTTGATAATTTACAGATACAATGAAGACCTCACTCACTTCAATCACATACACTACTATAAATACATTAATGTTCTAAATAAATACAAGTCTGCACAGAAAATACTTGCAGAGAATCGTAATCATATTAGAAACAAGGTAACTGATAAATAAGATGTAAGTGTCCACAAACTTGCACTAAAAAGTACACAAGATGGGTCAAATTTTCTTCCAAATATAAACAAAGGTATTACAGAAGAATTTATATTATGCAGTATAACTTGTCTGGGCTATATAAGTGGCCAAGATATTATCTGTTAAATTCCATGCTAAAGCAGATACTAAAACCCATCTCCCAAACATAAACTTGTTTTTCTTAAAAGCACCTTGTATTGTTAGCAGATGCGGCCCTGACAGCACAGCTGGAATGCATACAGACCTCAGACTGCTACAGGAGGCTCTGCTCTGATGCACATTATTAATTCTCCACAAAGATTACTGCATGCACATTTCACAGCTAACTCACCAAGGCTACTTAACTAAATTACGTTCAGCTCACAGGAGATCTGAAAAGTGGAGTACCCACAGAAAGACAGCATGTACCTCAGTGTAAACTACTCTGGACTGGTATTACATTGGATGTGCAAAAAACTGCCTTTATTGCGTAACGTTATACTGTATGTACACAATGTAGGACAAAAGTCCGTGAGATTAAGATGGTATTGTAATTATCTGTAAAGAAACATGAATTATATTTTATACAGTTTTTCCACAGAATAAAAAGATACAGCTACCACCATTTCCTTCCACAAGACATTTTCCTCCCCTGACAATACAGCTTAACAGAGAAGAACAGAGAAATTCTAGGTAGCACCAAAATTATAAACCGTACACGTGGACCAGCATAAAAAAAGCATAAATCAAACGTATTGCCTTTACAAGCAAAGAGAAGCAATAAATCTGAGGAATGTCCTCACTATTCTCAGAACACTGAATTTTCCTATCTAAAAAAAAGAAAAAAAAAATCACAATAAAACCAAAGTAACCACAAAAATAAATTCTAAAATACAGAGATGTTTCTTTTGATGTATGCAAATAAAAGACACATGCAATAATAATACCCCAAAAAGCCTTAGAAGCAGGACTGATTCTTCATTCCACAAAAATTTTCCCCTAGTTTAGCACACCTGCTTCCTCTGAGCTGTTTTTAAGGTTATTCTTTTTCTTCTAAGCTCCACACAGTCCTCATCAAAATCCAGTCATTACATTCAGACATTAATCTTAATGAATACATCACTGGATGTTAAAAATCAAATTCTTTCTGAAGGAAATGTCACTTTTATATTATTAAATAAGTGTTCAGAAAGTTTGCAGTTTACTTGTGTGTTCAGATGGATATGTAAATGAATGTAATTAATGCTATAGCTTTCAAATCATGAATATTTATAAACAGAAAATTACTCTATCTGTCATCCCCATAGGATATTCAGCTGCTAGGCTTTAGGAAAATCTTACACAATGAAAAAATTGACAATAAAGTAAACATGGTTGAAAGCAGGCTAATTTCCATTTCCACCAAATCTACATAGAGTGATTTTATGTAAAAATTTAGTTTTTCCTTTAAGAAGGAATTTTAAAATCATATAAAAGTGATTACAGACTTGTTTGACTTTTTCAGGAACAGCTGGACCTCACTGGGATGATAGTCTTTCTTCCATGAAGGGTTATCTTTCATTTTGTCAATACAGTTAAATAAGGTAATATAAAGTTCACTTAGGATAAGGTCCAGTAAAATACTGTTCCTTATAAATCAAAGAAAATCATACGACTTTACTTTCTGCTGTCCTCTCAACACAGAATGTAGAATAGGATGAAAATATAGTGTATTACTCCAAGAGCATGAAAAGAGTATATTCAATTCTAGTCATGACTGAAACTTTTATCAGTGAGCTCATTTTATGATAGTGCCAAGTTACAAAGGTAATTCTGAAGTATAAAATAAAACAGGTCAGTATTTTGTCTACTCAGAAAGGTGAGTGCCACAAAGACACTAATTAAAACCAAAATCGGCAGTTAGGAATGTAATTACAAAATTTCATCAAAAATATTTCTTATTAGTCTGGACAACCATTGTATATGCATTTCTGCAACGATCTATTCCATCGTCCTTGTCTTCAGGAATCCACAGGAACCCTGTTACCACTAAGTAGGTTCTGGACACTTTCACTGGCACAGATATGTCTAACCACCTAAGGACAACGGAGTGGTAACATTAAGAACAGACCAGATGCTGCGTTTCAGACCAATTTTTTTGAAAGAAAACTAAATGACCAAATCCATCTGTAATAACAGTAACCAAAATACACTCAAAAAGTGCTATATATGGAAGACTTGCTATATTCTGTATAGGACAATTTTTCAACCATAGCAGTTGAACTAATTCAAGATTCTCCTGTCACTGATATATATTCTAAGATTTTGTAGTGAATATAACTGTTTAATGGAACCTCTTTGCCATATGCATAAAAAGTGAGCTAAGAAATAAAAGGCTTTATAAATGCAAGCTTTCATTTTCAGATAAGACTCCTGGGACTCATCCACTGGCAAATACAGGACATTCATGTGGTGAACAAGGCACAGGTGATTTTGTCACCCTGCTGCCACTTTATCTCAGACCACCCTGCAACAGTACAATCTGTCACTGGCATTACCAGGGTAGAGAATCTGAATTTCACTTTATGGGAGACAGTGTAGCTTGGAATGGCTGACAAAGGTATTGCTGCCAGCTGCATGTCCTCCTGCCCCAACAGCCCAGATGGCTGAGCTACTTGGGAATCAGTTGCTGAATCAATGCAATTCAGGAGCAGCATTTTAACACAACTCATCACCAGCATCAGATTGCCATAAATGCTGAGCTGCAAGATGTGGCCGTTCAGCAGTTGATTCCCAAGAAGCTCAGCTGCCTGTGTACCAAGTGAGGTGTGGGCAGCTGGGAGCAGAATCAGAAATGGGAATCAGAGCCATCTGATGTCTTGATAGGCATCCCATAAACTCTTAACACAGACTGAAAGAGAGGATTGGAGTTGTTTAGACATTGTAAGAAAATGGGAACATTCAGGATGAAAAATTTTATTTATTTATTACTGAGTACACAAATATGTATTTAGTCAGAACTATGGGATATGCTCATACAAGACATTAAGAACTAGATATCCTATTTTCCTTTATATATTACAGAGGAAACGGGGATGTAGGGACATCCTTGGAGCAAAATAAACACTATTGTATTTTGTTGTAAAGCTTACTCAAAAATGTACCTGTGTGAAATTGAAATTTCTCATGAAGTTCTAACAGTAAAAAGAAGTAAAAGATTGAGCATCAGAAACTTTTAAGATCAGATCCTACTTTTTTTGTTTTGCATAAAACAAATAAACACCAACGTGCAACCGGCCTATGTATTTTATGATTATGCAACCATGTAAGTCACCACGTATGTATGTCTGTCTGAGTCTGCTGCGTAACAATTTCAGGGATTTTCTTTATTAAATAAAATTACTATCTTTACATTAGTAACAGTTGAGTTAATTCCCCCTGAATTACTCTAGTGAGAGCAGTCACCTACAAAATGCTTCAGAAAAAAAAGATTTCCCTAGAATATGAATGGAATAGGACAGAATATTTCTATTAGCAGCACAGCAGATGCCCCATTATGTTGCAAGCTTCAGTATCAGCAGTACTTCAGATTCAACCTTTGATGAAGGCTAAAGTAAAATTTAATTCACAACTTAATTAGCATTAGACAGATCTGCTTGCAAAAGAAAACCTCTCCGATTATATGCTGAACCAAAAATAAAGTGAAGATAAGCCCCCAAAATCTAGATTTATTTTTAACACAAACTTGAAACCTATACTCCTGGATGTGAGTAGCATGACACCCAGTAACTGTCTAAACATAAGCTGAACACCTGCATAATGTTTGGTCCCAAATCTTCAGTTTTTACAGTTGTAAAAGAGACACTGAAATAAGAAACAATTTATAATCAAAATCCTACTGCACAGCCTGGGACTCTTATGCTATACTATACATGTATATGTTTAATAAAGATACTAGCTTTGCTTTTGTCATAGTTAACATGAATGTGAAGTCTGGAGAAATAGAGGGTTAACATTCTACTCTGGTATTTTCCATCTTCTAATTCTACCCTTTTCATCAGTCCCAAGAAATTTTAATTCCCCTTCTACTGTCTAGGTCAGATGGCCAACAAGTACAGTAAAATTCAATTATCACTTCAGATAATAGTAAAGCCAATCATTTCATCCAATTTTTCAAAAAAGACCCATTTTTAAGCTTTTAATTTAATACTCATATTTTTTACTTTCTGTATTTGGCTTGCATGGCAAGGTTTTGGTAGCAGGGGGGGCTACAGGGGTGGCTTTTGTGAGGAGCTGCTAGAAGCTTCCCCCATGTCCGATAGAGCTGATGCAGCCGGCTCCAAGTCACACCTGCTGCTGGACAAGGCCGAGCCCCTCAGCGATGGTGGTAATGCCTCTGGGAATAACGTATTTAAGAAAGGAAAAAAAAAAAAACTGTGGGAAAGCAATTGCAGTCAGAGAAAGGAGTGAGAATATGTGAGAGAAACAACTCTGCAGGCACCGAGGCCAGTGAAGAAGGAGGGGAGGAGGTGCTCCAGGCGCTGGAGCAGAAATTCCCCTGCAGCCTGTGGTACAGACCATGGTGAGGCAGGCTCTCCCCTGCAGCCCATGGAGGTCCACGGTGGATAGATCTCCACCTGCAGCCCATGGGGGACCCCACATTGGAGCAGATGGATGTGCCTGAAGGAAGCTGTGACCCCATGGGAAGCCTGCGCCGGATCAGGCTCCCGGCAGGACCTGTGGGCCCGTGGAGAGAGGAGCCCACACTGGAGCAGGTTTGCTGGCAGGACCTGTGACCCCGTGAGGGACCCACGCTGGAACAGTCTGTTCCTGAAGGACTGCACCCCGTGGGAGGGACCCGCACTGGAACAGTTACTGAAGAGCTGCAGCTTGTGGGAAGGACTCACATTGGAAAAGTCCATGGAAGACTGTCTCCCATGGAAGGGACCCTATGCTAGAGCAGGGGAAGAGTGTGAGGAGTCCTCCCCATGAGGAGTAAGAAGCAGCAGAGAATGTGTGATAAACTGGCTGCAACCCCCATTCCCCATGCCCCTGCACTGCTGTGAGGGGAGAAAGTAGAGAATTCAGGAGTAAAGTTAAGTGCAGGAAGAAGTGAGGGTCTTTTAAGATTCAGTTTTTATTTTCTCATTATCCTACTCTGATTCAGATCAGTAATAAATGAGACTGATTGCTCCAAGTCAAGTCCGTTTCGCCCATGACAGTAATTACTGAGTGATCTCCCTGCTCTTACCTCAACCCATGAGCCTTTTGTTGTATTTTCTCTCTCCCGTCCAGCTGAGGAGGGAAGTGATATTGCTGCTTTGGTTGGCAGCCAGAGTCAACTCACCACACTATCTAACAATAATTTTATGATTACAGAGTTAGATTATTTAGTGAAGTAAAAGGCCTTTTCAGGAGTGAATAAATGTATTCACATTAAGGAATCCATCTATACATGCTCATATCTAAACAGGCCATCTTTCAATATGGCATCTAATATCTTGTTTAGACACATACTCAATAGTCTGCCCCATTTCTATCCTTATAGCAACATGTGCAGTATGTTTCATTTTTTAGGAATCTGTTTAAAGTGTATTATTATTATTTTTTGTATGCAATTACATGTAAACATTCACTTAACTTCAACAATTTTATTCTTCTACCTACCTGTTTCTGGAGTTCTGCCAAGTTGTAAGGTAATGCACCTTCTGCCAGTGGTGCTATTCTCTCAACATCTGCCAAAGTTAAGCGCCTTTACACAAGGCAGAGAAAAGCAAATTACTGTTAGATAAAACATCAATCATATTCAATACAGTATTCCTGGACACACCCCACAGAATATGTCCTGAGTTTAAAAATAACACCTGTCACATTTGAATGCACATCTAAGAAGTCTGCTATGCTGCAATAAATAATGCTTGGAGTTGGAAGGGCATTCTCTTCTTGTAGCTTGCGAGTGGAGATAAAGGGAGCTTGGATTATTCAGAAGCCAGTTCTTGATTACTAGTAATAAAGGATATAATACACAAATTAAACTATTTCTAAGCATTCCTACCTAAGATTTCACATGTGTTAATAGACCCACACAAAAACATCATCAATACTTAGTAATACCAGTGTATTGTAGCCTTTTGGGACTACTGTAATGTATTATTAATGCTATTTTAGTGTATATCAATAATACAACAATTAATAATTGTGCTTGATACACACAATTCACTTCCAAAACCCATGCATACACCAAAGTCAGTTTACATTGAATAAATTACTGTAATGAAATACAATGGAACACAAAACTTTTTAAAATTAAATGAAAATTAGTAGTTTTTACCCAGAAAACATCAAAATAATGATTGTAAAATTATAAAATTATTATGTTACCCAGTAACACTGTATAAATCTGCAAGTTGGTAGAGAATATCTATTTCCAGTGGTGTAACTTGTCCAAAGCGAATTGCAGAGTGGGTAAATTCCTCTGGATTTAAAAGGGAATGAGAAATAAAGCAATTGTGTTATTTGTCAAATTTCCTCTTTAAATGCTCACAAATAACTTTAATAGCATAAAAATGAAATCTAGCACTATCATTTTCAGAAGAAAAATCCATAATGCAAAGGGAAAAGATATCTTTAGAACATCTATCTTGAAACAGGCCTTTGTGACACAGAGCAAGTCTGACTCACAACTCCGATTTACAGTAAGAATTCATCAAAGTCAACAAAAATCTTCATATTAGCAACCTTAATAAAACCACACCCACAATTTGTGATTCTTGTTTCTGAAGTTCTGCAAAACAGAACAGAACAGAATAACGGTCCATTATTCACAGCTTTAAGGGCAACTGACTCATCTATTGCCATCATGTCCAGATTTCTTTCTCTGACAGTTCTAAATGACCCCAAGCTTAGATACTCATCTAGCCAAAATACACAACATGGTCATAACATAATTGGCAAGTCTGAGTAGTTAAAACACAGTAGTTTTTTTTCACAATACAAATCCAAGCAAGGTGTATTTACGCCTCTCCACCAAAAAACATTGCAAGGCTACTTGTTAGCACAATTTGGAGGATGAGAACAGGTGTTTTATGCTTTACTTTATGGATGAAAGGTATGCAGAGCATATGAACATAAGCCAAACAAAGAAGGAAAAATAAAATAAAATAAAATAAAATAAAATAAATAAATAAAAACAACTCCAAAGCAACAAACTTGGCATGCTTTTTACCACACACAGGCTTGGCTGGTCCCATCCATATAGGTAATAAAATCAGTGATCAAATCTGTCATAAAATGACTACAAAAGCAGTCCACCCATGCCTGTGGCAAGACTGAAATAAGGCAACCTTTCATATGCACAGGGATTAACTATGTCCTAATGGACAAAAACTATAGATAAAACCACTCAGGCAAGTAAGCACTAAGAAGTTATATATTATTACCATTTGTCAAAAACAGATTTAATCATGGATAAAGTAATTAGAGCTAAAACAACGTGGAGATTACTGATGATGGATTTTTAAACATAATCCATTCTATCACATTCCCTAGGTACTTTCTATCTCTAAGCAACCATGTATCCCTTTCAAGGAGTGGTAAAATCCTTAATAATATACTGACTTGCAGTTATCCATTCAAACTAATAAGGCCTACACAGCTCCTGCCAGAATCCCAATTCTTCTCCTTGATGAGCTAGCCAGAAATCATTACCAACATGTGAGGATGAAAATCACCCTTTAAACACCTTCACAGTAGCCCTAACCTTGCATACTATTGCAGCTTCCGACTTGCCTTAACCCATATCCAACATCAGATTACAACACGGACAGAACTAAAAATTAATAAAATGTTAATAAAATGGAATCTTAATAAAAAGGAAATATACTTTACCTTTTGTGACTTCAACATCTTTTCTTGTACCTGCTATATTACTGTATATCTTCCTAACAAGATCCATGTTATTCAGAAGGGCATTAAATGCATTGAAATAGGAGAAGCTGACCTGATGTGAAACAGTTCCGCCAGCTACCTTTAAAAATGAAATGAATGCAGTTAAGTGCCTTAAGCCCTTTTATGACATCTTATTACAAACTACAGAAACATCCATTTGGGCAAATAAGGAAAGAACTAAAGATATCTTTCTATTCCTGTAGTTTTAAGATATTTTTAATACAAACATGAGGGGAAAATTATTAGACAAGATACTATTTTTTGGTAAAAACTGGACATTAGGAAATGATCAGAAGATGATAATTTAAGTAGATTATTATTCAATTTATCTGATACACACACTAAATGTGTCACTGAATATTTCTCTAATACTCTCTATTTCTAATAGTGAAATGCATCTAAATGCTACTTTATCTAAACGCACTGACTCCTTGCATCGAATACCACAGTGTCCATTTATTTCAAAGTCTAAAGTTAGTAGATAATATATATTTTACAGAAGATGGTAGGCCTTATTAGTTAGGCAAGGCAAGATTTATAGGTAAAATAGTAAGATAAAAGTTATTACTTTGTATTTTATATAACTTTCATACTTGCATACTTTTTTATACTATATACTTTCAGTTTATAACTTTTATGCCATTACTTTACCTACAGATCTTCCCAGACCATCACAGCTGTAACCATTCTGCCTCTAGAATCTACAATTGATTTTCCAATTTCTGATCTGGAAAAGACTATAAGAGTATATGAAAGGGTAAAACTGTAAGTAGTCTCCACCTTTTGAGATCTGTCATATACTTAAATATAAAAATTAGATTCTTTTGTCCTAAATGAATGTTCTTTTTGTGCGACGTACAGTTTGACCTGCTTTAGTGGAAAGCACAGTAGACTAACTCAAACTGTTTCCAACAGCACTTTAAGCATGTAGACTGGACTGCCAGACTTTTCTACTACTTCTGACATGTTTCACCCTGCCCACTGTTCATCTCTAGCACCAAGGCAGTGATAAACAGGTAGGAGATGATAAAGTGGGAGAGAAGCAGTAACATCTTAAAACTGTACAGCTATTAAACACTGAATTCAAGGCACTTTTCTTTACACTTACTGAAACTAAATTTTCTTCCACAAATGGAGTTAGCATATGTGAACGAAGGGTAACCATGATGTCACTGAAGTCCAGCCCAGTTATCATACCACTTTTATTTTTGTCCTTCAATGCAAAGGCTTGTCTTGCGTGTTCTGACTGCAGCTCCTAGAATGTTCAGAAATAGTAGATTAGAAGCAAATTCTGTAACTCATTGTTCACAAAACTCTCACTAATCTCATATTCTTACAGCATGCCTCAATACATCTGTGCACGTAGACCACTGCACAGCTGCAGTTTAAACTTGCAAGGCCAGCTCAACAAGAAGTCTGCATACTGATTCTATCCACAGATTCATTTTTCTGTCAAAGAAAAGCTTCAATTCAACTGTAAGGAAATATGCACGCTCACTAAACTTCACATACCCATGTCCTGTCTGCTTTCTATTCCTTTATTAAATACTTAACTGCTGGAGAAACTTCTGATACTGATCTTAAAGACTCAAAGTGAGCTGATCTCTTACACTTCCAAGATGAAATATGACTGGGCTATTATAAACTAACTCATTGAAAAATACTTGAAAATAAACAGGACAACAGTGAAAATTATATAATATAGATTTAGACTGCCCCCAACAGCTACCTCCCATAATGTCAGAAATGGCCACTCATTTCAGGTAATTTAAAACTCCTATACAATCTGTAAAAACCTTCATAAAAAGCACACTGCAGTAACCTAACCTCAAGATAATAATGATGGTTCTAAATTCTGTGTCCAGAAAAAGTTGTTTCCTTCTATTCAAGCAAACAATAAAGCACTTTCAGCTGTCATTCAGACCTCTAGAAGCAGCTAAAATAATAACCATGTTCTGACAGACAATAAGAGGACAAACTATGTAGCTTGTATCACCTTTACAGTAATTTCTCAAGTCTTATAACCTCAAGATCAAGGTTTTCTAGATCACGGTGCAACAAGCCAGCTCTTATCCAAGTCCCAAACCCCACAAGATCCTGTTAAACCAAATAAGAAAAACAACCTGATATAAAAGGAGGGACAACAGTATCCATCTTGTGTACAGATTCAAATTACCACACTCCATACCACCCTTCCCTATCAAGGGTTTTTATTATATGATGACAGTAAGATGTTACTGTATCTTACATGACAGTATCTTGGAACAATAAAAACAGAACAGATATTTATAATTTTGCTCTGGGTTCACAACAAAGATTCTTCTCACTAGAGCTGTGATTTTTTTTCTGCACTAGTGTTCCAAATTCATTCCTGGAATCACTTAAAATATGCAGTATCAAATACAGGACACAGTTTATTCCTTGAAAGTAACACCACATTATACTGCAACCTTGAAAGACTGTGCCAAACACCAATATGTCCATTTACAATATAGACCTCAGATCCTATTTAGTTAGACATGTTTTGCTAGAATCTGCTCTAGATCTATTTTTGTCCTGGACAATAATTACAGATTATATCAAAGAACATCTATCACTCCCTACTTTTAAGACAGAATCTCCACAACTATTTTGTACTAAAGGCCAGCTATGAAAGTGCATAATCTATTTTTCTTCAGGTCTCCTAATATCATGAGATGATCACTGCATGTTAATTCATGGAATTCAGTGCAATTGCCTACAATTCTGCAAACTCCTTTCTCATTAATTATAGCGTACAATTTTCTTACTTTCCTCTTCCTACATCCTTCATAACTGATGTCTTCCTTTACTTCCTTCTAGTATAATGTTCAATTCATAACGTTTTTAACTTTTTGGCTTAGCAAAGTCCAGTTCTAGAAGTGAGATCCTGTAAAGCCTTTACATAGGAGGTTACATTGTTAGTAACAACTAATAATAACAAGTATTTAGGGTGCAATCTTTCTCTGGTAAAGGTTAGTTTTGCTATTAAATTCCTGTGACAGAAAAACTAGACCCTCAATCCAGTTTAACAACAATCAGTAAAATGGTTCATTTCAAATCCAGTATATTTAGTCCCATTCTTTTACAGGAAGATATTCAATTTAAAGCACAATGAGTACACACTCCTTACACAACTGCGGTGGAGAAGTAACAGTTCGTAACTGTCAGGATTAGTATCAGATAATCATTATCACTAACAGATTAAGCTCAGAAATTATAATGGTATTAGTGTATTATTAGAAATGAAAATAAATTAGTTCTACTTTGAAAGGAGTTAATAACTGACCTGAAGAAACTGAGTGAACTCGGAATAGTTAAGATGCTTCTTCTTGTTATGCCCAAAATGCAGTCGAATGAACTCACAGTCCCAGTTGAAGGGGATTTGGAGATGAATAATAGTTTGTTCAAATATTTCTTTGACATTTGCTTTGGGAGAGGGAAAAACAACAAGTGAGCTTTGGGATACAGTAAATCTACAAACATTCCAGGACGAATACAAACAAATGAGGTTTTAAGAAGCTGTTTAAGAAGTGGTTTAGTTTGTTAACAATAATTGCTAAGCAAACCTTTACAGACCTGTATAAGAACACATTTGTGACACAATGTGATACTTCTTGTATTACTGCATAAAATCTTGGAGTGAGTGTTTTATTTAGTTTTAATTAAGAAGCAATTTTCCTCATACATGACAAATAAGAGCTATTTTGCATTCTGATATAAAAATGAATAGTAGTTCTCCATCTCTGCTAGGAGTCAAATTAAGCCCTTTATCAAGAGCACGAATACCTGCATTACAATCACATGCAATATTTGTCATACTAAGTATGGTTTGATTGAAACTTGATTATTACAATCACACTGTCTGAATATGTCTATTGAAGATAGGTATAAGAAATGCCATCTAAAACATATCATTAACTCAGCAGAAAGCACCTTATTAAAAGCTTTTGATAAGGCCTTAGCACAAAAATCAAATCCTATAAAACATAATTGGCAGTCTCAGTTATTAAAATGTTTTAAGATAAGTGAAGATAGAGATGTCCTCTTTTAAATGAGGTAAAGAAAAAAAACCTGTCATTTCAGAATATGGAATTCTCTGTATGTATACTGTACAACTGAAATCTCAATGCCAAATATATTATCTGAATTCAGTCAAAAACTTCATCTGAAAAAAAAAGCATGTTTTATTCATATACAGCATTGACATGATGCAAAGCAAGCCTGTTCTTTGTCCACATTATCCAACCACATAAACAGTATAACTGGACATCTATCCATACCACATGAACATTTTTCAAAATCTACCTCAAAGTATCTGCATTTATCAACTAACCTAGACCCTCCTAATAACCAAAATAAAATGTGACATATATCTTAAATTTAAAACAAAGCACAAAATAGTTTAGCTGAAAACACGCTTCTTTTATGCGTTTAGAATAAACAGTTCTGCTAAAAGACAAAATGCAATAAGAGTAACTTCCATTTCATTTGATAATTCCATCAAGAGCTATTTACTTGGAGTAAATGTGTTGCTTTCTCTATGCTAAAGGACTACTTGATTAATCATTGTTTCAGTTCTATAGTTCTAGATCAAATTTAGGCAAACCACTATATGGCTTTATCTTTTCAGTGAGGAAAGGAAGGGGAATGTTCATAACAAACCTGTCTCAGAACAATGACATACAAAGTAGGATTCCTTGGCCAGATCACCTACTTCACAGTTAGTTCGGGATTACATATTCAAAGGGCAGATTATGGCTAGTAAGTGATTTAAATGTAATTTAGCCCTTACTTAAAAGTCAAACATAGAATATAGTAAAAAACCATGCAATTTAAACTATAGTTTCTATTGCAAGATAGGCTAAAGGAGTAGTTCAGGTAAACAAGAAACTTAAAAAACTATCCTGACTACTTGTAACTGTCCACTCACACCTTTTCACTGCAATCAATATGCAAGGTGAGAGTTAAAAAAAAAAGAGAGATAAAGCATCCAATACATAGGGCTAAACTATTTTATTTTGCCAATCTTCCTTTGAAAGTTTTGTCTGTGGTAGATTTACTCATCATTGCTAGCAATCAAGGAACCAGGAGATGTAAATATAAATTCCCCATCTACCACTGATTCACTGCAGCTTGTGATCAAGCTACCTAGTTAGTCTTCATGTACTACAAACACAAACAGATCAGTGCAGCTCACTACTGAGCCTGCAAAATGGCACTGAACTTTGAACAGAACACAAAACAGGCCTGATTAATTGCATCTATTGGTTTGGCTACTAACTAGTGACTACTTACACATCTGTAAAACTGACTTCTAATATATATTGAGTTCTCCTAATAAAAATTTAGGGAAGAACGTGATGAAGCAGTCAGAAATTTTAAATTATATTTTCAATTGTTTCCAATTATTGCTTCTCTTAACCTTAGAGAAAGGTTAAAAAAGTATCTTTTTTTTTTTTCTTACAAAAAAATATTCACACATATTCATATAGACAGATCTTCTAATTATTTTTAATGAGACTTAAGCCCCTGGTCTTTTCATAACTCTCATTCAAGCATTTACTTGTACACCACTTAAACAACCAAGAATCCATTTCCTACACTACTGATTTTTCCTTCTTAAAAATGTTTACAACTAGTCATCAACATATCACAAGTCAAGATTCTTCAGCACATAAAAATAATACTGGTAAATGAATTCATAAATTTACATTCAATAGTTGAGTGTATTGGTACTTGAAAAATCCCAGTAGTGGCTAATTAGCTTTAAAAAATGGTATCCAGATTAGCATGTTGCTTTGCTGAAAACTGAGGTGCCTTACCCATTTTTCTTCCACAGGCAATCACTCACAATCTGTAATGTATATTGCACGTATTACTGCAGTCTGCGTTTAAGGATATGATGTTGTATCTGATGCTTAATTAATTCCACGTTGGCATTGTTTATGAAACATTTGGGGTACAAGAGCAAAACCATGTACCTGTTGTGAATAACTGGCAGTTAAAACCATTGAAACTCTAAATACAATTTTCCAAAGCCATTTGGGATTCTCAAACATCTCTAGATAAACACTAAAATTTACTACTTCTATCCTAGAGTAGTGATGCTTTCTTCACAGTATTTCAAGAATACCTTTTTAATCCAATTTTGCTGGCTATTCTCTTATATTAAAGGGAATAGCCATCACCACAACCAACAACTCATGTGATGAGAAGCAGCAGACAACCACATTTCAAAAATTGTATGTAATATGATCATCACCAACACTTCCACTGCTTTGAATTATGATCAAATGTCTTATTTTTAATTTACTTTTTTTCACAGCAGAAGCAAAGCACTGACAACAAAGAAAACAGGTAACATTAAGGTACAGATGCTGCAGGGCTTTTGCCTTTTTTTTTTTATCTCCCTCAGTCAAAACCCAGTAATGCTTCTAAATTAAGATAAACTACAAGTACTTCAAATTTCCAACAGAGCTGTTCTGCAGGGGGCAAACAGCAAATTATTTTTAAACCCTTTCATTTTTGTATGACATTTTACAGAACTCATTCATTGTCCCTGTCAATACATGTTGCTCATTTACTAATGTCTTCTCCTACTCTTTGCTCACCTTTCTGCAGTGGAATTCTTTCCTACTGAGCTGATAACTTTCTTTCCAGGCTTATAGCAATGCATTTTCTTCTCAGATAGGCATACAAGTCAGCAGCCTGATGACATACTCAACTAACCATCAGCCCCACAAACAATAAATCTACTACTCTATTGCACTAGTACATTACCTCCAAGGCAACACACATTCTCTCAAGATTGCTTTGGAACTTCCCCACCCAATCATTTTAAACAAATTACAGATGCCTGGAACAGCTATCTGCAGGCAGCATATACATGACTGGCTCAACCTCCATCAAACACTGCTACCTATCAGGCTCAGAAAAACAAAGTTTTTAGGCAATACTGAATTTCACAGAAGGAGGAAGAACACTTTTAAGTTATAAACACTATGATGTTTTGTTGATGGCCCATAGTGGGGATGAGCTTCAGTATCCCAAATAAGCCTTGAGGTAGTACCTATTACTTATTTTGACTTATGAGCTCCCCAAGAAGCAGAGTGGAAACCTCACACAATTCCAGTGCCATCAACTTGTTAATGGAGTTTGCCACTCCCTCTCGTCAGTGATGGAACATCAATCATGCTTGTTAGAGACACAAAGATATAAATCTGATAGTTTTAAGTACAAACATAAGTATGCTGTTTGTTGTTTAATAGTTTTGTGTATGGTTTTGTTGTTTTTTTGGTTGTGGTTTTGTTTTTTTTTTTTTAATGTCTACTCAGGCGTCCACAGTCCCATTTATAAACATTTCAGTCTTAATGTACATAATACATTTTAACATAATCTATGTTGCTGTTTTTCACTATTTCTGCTAACAGCAAATTTTACATATTTTCACTTTCAAGTATAAAATTAAAAATCACAGTTAAAGGCAAAGACTTTTTCAGTAGCACCTGATGCAACAGAAGTATATTAAGAGTGATCCAAATGTAAATAATACAATTACTTTGACATGAGAGCAAAATGACTGGTGGCAGTAAAAGTGAGAAAGCTAAACTAGAAATAGTTACCTTGTATTTCTACTCTTAAAAGGATTAGTTATTTTGTTTAAGGTTAAGATCAGTGACAGCCCTAACAACACATTGTCAATATATCTAATTTTAACATGGACTTCTTTTCTGCTCCCTCTTGCTGAACTATGGTTTTGAACTTAATACTATAGTATTATTATAAAAAATATGGAGGTGCTCCCATCCTGCACTGCTCACCAGTGTTTAAAACTGTGGTTTAAACCTGAAAGAATCATACAACAGGAAAGAAGCAAACAAAATAAATAAAAAAAAAAAAAACAAAACACGAGGACAAAAGAAAATCATAACATACAGTGATGTTTTCTACATTATCTGCATGTGGTAAGCAAAAGATACCTTGAAAACAGGCAACTAACGTATGACTACCAAGAAGCCAAGAAAAATAACAGTTCTAGTTTACAGCACACTTGATAAAAACATGGTGTTTTTTCTTATATACTCAGATCTTTAGCCAAGTTATTATGAGATTTTTTTCTGTTTATATTTTTAAAGGTTTCCAGCCTTTATGGTTGAAAATAATATTTTATAAGAAGAACTCCTCAGGTTAAATCCAAATCCTAGTATTTTCAATCCAACCAGTCTTTTGGAAATGGGGGAGGAGCAAGTTCTAGGAATGATCTGTGTTTCCTGAAAAGTACTACTCAAAAGCGAAGAACTATAACAACATATATTCAACTCCTTTCTCTTGTTCTTCTCACTCACTTTCTTCCAGTGTTCTCAAATTCTATGTCCTGATTAAGGGGAATATGAACTTTCTCTCCCAGATTAAAATTTGCTTAAGAAAATAGATGGACAAGATTTCAGTATCACTGTATACTTAACTTCTGAAACTATTACATTGATGTTTATTATTTCTGCTGACCAATATCATGGTAATTTTCACATTCCTAAGTATCTAATCCCCTCACTTCCCCCAGTGCCTTTAAAGAAGACACCATTATACTCTGAAAAATATTTTTAATTAGATTTTGGTCTGCAGGATGTTTTTAAAAGCCTTATGTTCAGTTCCATAAATGTTTTCCGATTATCTCCAAAATAATGTACAAATTCTGAATATAGAAGAATCACAAAGATGAAGACAGTAACATTGTTTCAAAATCTCATTATTTTAGCTCTATCTTTCTATCCATACCAGCATGGTTATTTAACTAAAAAAGTGTCTCTGAAATTCTCCAGTTTATCAGAGAATGGGTCTCTCTGTGGTGACTCTACAAGGAAGAACAGCTGCAAAAAGCCTTGAAATTGTACTTTCCAATTAAAAATGATACAGTTCAGATCACTGAATAGTTTGCCAACAAGATAAATTACAAAGAAACCTTTTACTTCCAGTTAGACAACCTATTTTTGAGAGATGTTTCAGTGATAATCATAGACTTCACCATTTAACCACAGTAAGGATTATCTGCTTCTACACTGAAGCAAACCAAATACCTTGAGCAGATTTAATATTTAGGTTTGCTTAAACCTGAATTCGGGTCAAAGGACTTGCAGAGAACAGCAATAAAAAGAAGTTTCCTTTGTACAATAGCATTAATTTTATGGAGTGGTTTTAAATATTTCACTTATGTTAAGTAGCTTAGTCAGTTACATCCCATGATCAAAAGAGCAAAGTGGTTGTCAGTCTTCTCTGGCTATAGACAGTAACCCAAACCAAAAAAGACAATGCATGAGAAAAAAGATATAAATTTTCTTTATAAGCTTTAGCTGTTAACTTTAAATATTTTATGGTTAAAGCAACACTTTAAGGGCTTATCAGAAGCACATTTCCCATAAAATATTCACCAAGGAATAATTTATGAAGACATAGAGGCATTTGATCAGGAAAAGAAATTCTTTTTTTCTATTTCTCCATGATTAAAAAGTAATTTAAACTACAATCACTTGTATCAATGGATTATTAAAACAGTAATTTTATTGCTTTTTATTCACTAAGATGACAGCAAGTCCAGTTCAGCTGAAGTATGTACAGTACTGAGCATGCTGCATAGTTTGCTCATACAAAGTAGGTCCAATTTCATAGTCTTGCAATGGACCTACTATACAAATACTGTAGCATACTACCTGAACATCTATGGCAGTCACTCATACAGGATTTCTAGATGTCCAGAACTCCTGGAAAAAATGTCCCTAAGCAACAGAAAGTAGATGACTAACATTAAAGTAACAGAAGGCTTCCTGTTTCAACAATCCCAATTAACATATGGTATTGCACAGAGACACTGATTAGCATAGCATAGCTGACAAGTATTTCTACCAAATAGTTTCTAAAGAATCACAAACTCTTTGTCGTCCTTTTACACTTCTCTACTCGTAAGACAAAAGTTCGTCTGTAATACAATTTAATTAATAGTTTCCTCATTGGAGATTTGGAAGCTAAACTTTTGAAGAGACAAGTGGCAGACTGAGGCTCAGGAGGACTGCAAGAAGCTAAAGAGCTCAAGTATGGACTGAGTCCATGTCCATTAATAAATCCTAAAGAGATGTGAACCTGACTGGAGCAACTTCCTTTCAAATACAGAGCCAGCTCTAAAAATCAGCAAGTACACTTTCTCCAGGTAACTGAAAATTTTATTAGATCAAGATATTTTTTGCAAATGACATACAGTCATACCCAAATGATTTTGAGACATTATCTCACGTCCAGCAAGGTCAATGTTGGGTTCAAATTACTGGCCTAACAGACCCAAATTGATTCAGTGTTCCGCTCTCCAGCACCCGCTCCCCTTGTTCCAGACACACAGTGCAAAAAAAACTCAGTAAATCCATATTACTTCTGGCAGGACTTACTGCCTTGAGTTAGCTTTGGAATTGGTGCAATCACCTCCACATAGCATTACATCCAAGCTAGCAAATCTTGGCTCATGTTTGCTCTCGTAACCAACACGGTTTATCTGCAGACATTATACACTCATAAAAGAGAGCCGACTCGTCTAATAGCAATTCTCACACCAACTGCCTAAACTTACTCCATTTCAGTATATTTCTAATAATCTATTAGAACTTTTAACTTTATGACCTAATTTTATATATTCTTCTGTTTTTACATGAAACTAAACTCTGTGCCTTTCCGTTTATGTGATGTGAAAATGAAAGAGTGCAGGACTTGTTTATAAAACAGCCTCTATAGGCCACAAGACTGACTTGGAAACTGACTGCAGTTACCAAATTCTGAACATGTCATATATCATTATTCACATTTTTCCCACATGCATTAATTTGTATGATCTGCTTATGAAGTAGCCCACGTTACAAACAACAACAAAAAAGCAAAAAAGCAGCAGTAAACATAGGAACTGTAACACAAAAATACGTACTGATAATGTTACAACATGCTATTAAATACAGTAATAATTACAATATAAATAATTTTGTAAAAAAAAAAAAAAAGTAAATTTTAAATTCCCTAAAAGCTTCTATTCATCAGCCTTATAAAAAAAAATCAGCAAGAAAAATTTGGAAAAAATAATGCAATTTTCTGGTTTGCAGTTTCTCTTGTGTTGTTCTTTTAGCCTTTAATATAATGATGTGCTCATAAAAATAACAATCCTCAGTCTGATTGAGGAATCCGTATACAACCTGAAATTACTTTTTGTTTGTAGAACCAGCTATTTCAAGTGTGTTCATGAGAGCTACAAAGTGCATATCCTTCTTTTGTGAGATTATTAAATATACCATCATTAGCATGGTCACACTGATTGTAGTAGTTTGTCTTCTTCCTAAATGACTGCATTTACTGACTTCACCTTTACTTAAGTTCTAAAAGATTTTCTTCTCAAGATGTTGTGTATCCAAATTGCTTAGTATTTGACCCTTCAGTTAACGATGTAATTTAATAGACTTTGTAAGTCAAGCAGTTTTTCTCCATAAAAAGACCCTTGCATTTTTTTTTTTCAACAAGTTGCAACAATTTTTATAAGAATGAAATAGTACAAACAGCAGGTGGTTACAAATCCAAGCATAGTTTGTATTTTCTTTATTGAGAGCTTTATTCTTTTGGATAGAAATAACACTTAATTCTCATTCCATTTTATTAAAGTTCTTAACATTGATTTATCTAATTTTCATAAGCATATTAAGTTTTAAAAATAAAACCTAGTCCTCCTTAAACTTCAATGTTAGTAACAGTTATTTAGCAACATCATAAAGCAGTATAGTTAGCCAAAAGAACCTTGTCCAATTACTAATTATGTGATTAGGAAAAAAAAAAAGTAACAAAACTTAAAGGCCATATTTTCTTCCTAATTTTTCAAATATATGATCTAGTTGGAAGTTACACTCATAACATTAAAGTAGGATTTGCTCCTCAAGAAAAGGAACACTAAACTAGAAATTCAAAAGATGAGACCACCTTCATTTCTGTACTGAGCTTTATCTAATCACAATTTTTCAAAGGTAATGGGGAGATCCAGAACATATTTTAAAAATCGCTTATCACTGAAGGAGTTTGAACAACGAACTTTACTTAGGATAACACTGAACAAAACAGCATTGTACTAACTACTTCAGGATCATGAAAAATGTTGACTCAAGAAGACAGAGCAAAATATATTTTGTTGCTGTGTATTTAAGCTTGTATTGCTTGAAAGAAAAAAAAAATGTTTTACTCATGCAAACTCTTAGGAAAACAGCATAGTACTGCACAATATGCATTTCTATGCACCCATGGTGATGAGCCATAATTACAATTTATACTATTATAATCACTTTCTTAAGCTGTTTTTCTTTAGATATTCTTACCAAATGTTACTTCTCCATTGCCACTCTTGTCAAATAACTGAAAAGCAACAATGAATATTGCATCTGGAGTACACAGAACAGATTCAAAAGCCAAAAATTCTTGATAGGAAATCAACCTACAAAGGAAAATAACAGAAGTTATAAAGATTTCAAAAAAATTATTCACAGTATCAGTGATATTTTGTGTTTGATGCTCTAGAAAACTGTACAATCCAATTATTAAAATAAAATTCTACTATGAAAAAGGTTAAGACTCTACACTGGAAATTGAAAAAGTATTTGTTACATTTTAGTAGTTACTGAACATTTATGCAACTCAGTTTCTTCCTCTATAAAACAACTGAACTCTTCATATCCATCAACAACACAATATAATCAATTCTCAGTGAACACCTACAATTTATTACCTTGTAATTATAAATGTAAGCAGAGAGCACTTAAAAATTAAGACAAAAAAAACACAGAAATTCTACCACCATGAAATTTACAGGGCTGTCATTGTATTACTAATTTACATATATATTTCTACTGAGAAAGAAAAGATATTTTAATGCAAATATAGAAATATACTGTATGTATTTTCTTAAAACATGTAACATTCATAAAAAGCAAACAGGTTCAGAAAAAGTTATACTTTATGATGTATACAGAAAAAATATTACACTTCAAATATAACATGAACTGCAAAGTCATGTATTTGAGGACAAGAAAGAAAGAAAAACTACAAGAACATTCAGACATAAGGACAGTTAGACATGACCAAGGCAAGGGAGGATTTCAGAGTAACAGCAGATCACAAGATTCTGAGCTGTGTATGCAAGACCATATAGAAAAATGCAACTCCGGATGCATTAGGAAAGCACTTTCTGTGTGAGATTAGGAAGCAGTGGTATCCCCAGATAGGGTTCCCACATCTCTGGAATGCTGCACGGAAATCCAAGTCCTTGTATTCAACACATATAAACTCAGACTTGAATGTATTCACAGGTAACTCACTAGGATAATCATTAATAACTTTTCTAGAGGAACTCAGTTTATTCTGACTAACAAAAAAAACAAGGTGATGTGTTAACATTCTTGCATATATACAATATATGAAAATACAGAAAAAAAATCAGTGATTATGAAAGGAATTGAGATATGGCAAATACACAATTATGGTATTAATTTGTCACACTTTAGCCACAAAAATAAGAGTTGTGAGAACGGTTCTTCAGATGCAAAGTCAATTTCATCCAAAGGATAATCTTGATAAAGATAAGGGTTTAGTGTCAGAGAAACAGAATATCCTTTAAAATAATTGTAAGCACTATAATTTTGAAATATACCTCACATACATGCGTAAACCTGACATATAAATTAATTCCTAACCAGGAAGCTTTATAACTGACAGAATCAAGTGACGATCTCTGTAGAATGCATTTGTAGAAGCCTGAACCTGAAAGAAGCTGTCTTCAGAGGTCTCACTTTAACAGTGCCTACAGCAAAAGGAGATAGACACATTCAATTTCCTTTCCACATATTCAACTTGCAATGCCTAAGAGCAGGGATATCCCCTGTGATCCTCCATTATCCATTAGGGCGGAGATAACAGGAGCTGGATTAAACAGAATGATGAAGCTTCCCACCCAATCGCTACTCAAGTATCATTCAGTGAACCCGTTGCATTACAGAGTCCATAACAGTATCAAATCACTCACCTTTCATTTTATCTGTAACATTTTAAAAAAAAATTCCTTTCCTCTTATTTCTTCCATACCATTACCCTTCAAAAGCACACAAAGTAGGCTACGTGTTTACAATTCTTCTCTATCTTTCCTTTTTTCCTACTACAACTCCTTTCTCTTTTTTTCCCCACACAACATAGCTTTCAGACATTATGTATAGCTCTGTTGTGACTCTCCATTATGCGAAACATCAACTCTTTCTTCAGGACTGAGTTTAAGAACACATTTCCAAGTTTTAAGAAAGATATGCTGATAAAGAGCGCCCAAACCCAAGCAATTACAATGAAGAATTTTAAAGACTACTGTGAAATTTTGAAGGTTTGAAGGGGGAAGAAAATCTTTGATTTTAAAACTGCAATATCTACTAATGTTAATTGACTCATGTAATTGGGAAGCTGGTTTTACTGCACTTATGTAAGTATATTATTCAGAGAGGATATTTACAGAATTTCAAAACTAGTGCCTGCAGACCTGAAGACACAGGAATGCTTACAGCATCAGTGAAATCCCATTGTATTAGGCTGAGAGCAGACAAGGCATTTTAGGCCAAATTCTAAGAACATGCATTTGTAACAATGAGGAATAAACACTTTGAAAGTGAACAATCACTTGTTTTAAGAACCACCTTACAGTGTTCCACTAAAGCAAACAAGTCTTGTACTGTAGTAATGGGAGAAGGCAAGAGCATTCCAGAACAGTTAAGTAAGGATCAAGTTACCATCAGAAAAAAAGTAAAAACCAATTTTTTAAAACATATGCCCACAGACAGCCAGTTCCAAAATGTGCTTTTTTTTTTTTTTTCTAAAGTGCCAAACTTAAACCTAAATGAAATTTTAAAAACATTAACATAGAAAAGTTACCATAAACACTTTGAGTATTTATTTGAAGGGAAAGCAAGACTAAGAGAATACGATGGCAGATACAGGAATGAAATTTTGTAACAGAACCCAAAGCTTCTCAGCAACTTGCTGAGTGATGTTGGGCTGTTATTTAGTTTACAAATGTACGTATGGAATAGGACTACCGATACTTTCTTGGACTTCATAAAGTAGCTTTACGTCCTTGAAAAATTTAATGCATTCCAGAATTCGGTTGAAGATTACAATAATTATTCATGCTACAGATTAAACTCTCTATGCAGATGATACAGTTATGAGAGACTGGATTATTATGACTCCCAACTAATGGAAGGAAGAATGCGAATGTAAAAGTAAATAAGTAAATGATGATGGGGGTATAAAAAATTCTTCACATGAAATACAGATTAGAGATAAATATAGATTAAAACATTTAGGAAGGTAAGTTTCAGACAAGTATTCAGACAAACATTTTGCACTGCAGACCATATGGTAATAATTCCCATTCCCACTGTTCCCATACAGAAGTAGATAAAACACACTTACCCATATTTTATTATCTCACTTCAAATACTACCCAAATTTTAAAACAAATAAACAAAAAAAAAAAAACAATAGAAACTTATATTCACAGGGTAGGCAACAAAAAAGTGATGTCTTAATGTGAATTTCTGTTGTAGCAATAAAACAAATTATTGATTTGTTACTACAAGAAAGATCCTTTCATAAGACATTTTCTGAAAAAATGCACACCGTAAAACATAACCAACAGCTTTCAGAGAAACGAGATACTCAACACGTTGTTTTACTAGTCATCAATGAGACTATTATTTCAACAGATACATACAAAATAGCCTTTTCAATCCATAACAATGCAACAAGCTGCAGCTACATATTGCAGAGACAGGTTATTTGAATGTATCACATATATATATATATGTATCAAATGCATTATCAAAATGCTGCAGCTCTATAAAAAAAAAAATCATGTAACATTACATCAAACAGGAGATCCTGAATTTGTCATTTAAGGTAAAATGTATACAGCATACACAATTTAATTTGTAAAGCACAGACACTGTGCAAGCTGCTCAGGATACTATGCAAACTAATAAAATATTCTAAAGCAGAACACAGGAAAACAAAAACATTTAAATGATGTCAAAGGTCAGATTTAGACTCACAAATCCAAGGAAGGTAAGGGTCTTACAATTTAAACTGTTACAACTATATATTTATAAACATACTGTATACTATTTTAAACAGCGACTTTCTCTCTCTTCTCTACAAAATATCCACTCCCTTCTGCATTCTTGACCTGTTTTCCGATCCATTCTACCCTTCTCATTTGACTTCAACAATGTCCACTCTTCTACAATCCAAGGCCAAAATTAGAAACCTACATACAACCAGAGAAGACTCCTTTGAAGATGAGTGAGTTAGAGGGTACTACCTCAGTGGAGTGAACATTTTGTAAATTAGTTTCAGAGAACTGTCTAAAAGTAAGCAATATCATCTGTAAGCAGAGTTGGAAAACCTTTATGTGGTGTGACTTTATCTTGATTAGGCAAACACCTTCTTCCTTCACAGAATCATTAGTGTCTCTTTCCTTATAGTCAGCACTTTAAAAAATACTTGTGGTTTGATTTGAATTGCACACTAGAGAAATAAGAAAGCTTTTCCATATTTCCATGTTTAATTACAGGTACTAAAGACTCTACATAATATCTAATCATGGTCATGAGTATACAGAAACAAATTTTCCAAAGCAATCATACCACATTAAACTTGCAGTTCCACTTCTGCATTTGTAGTAATTGTTAAAACCCTATTAAAACAAAACTTAAAAAATGCATGTTAAACGCTGTATTTTTTCCCAATTCTCACAAATTTATAGTCTATTGTGCTTGAGAAAAAACTCATAATCTAAATAAGCTTAAACTGTAATAAAATCATTAAAGTATTTTAGAAGATTAATTTGTCAAACTTGTTCACTCATGCATTTACCAATGCATTACAAGCTTCTAATGGAAAGCAAAATTCTCACCCATCCTTAGTTTGATCTGCCACTCCAGCCAACAGCTGCACAGTTTTAGGATTGTAACGCAGATCTGTATAAAGTCCTAGGTATTTTTGCACAAAATCTTCTGGGGTCATGTAACGCTCTCCATCTTTCTCAACACTGGCATACTAAAGTAAAAATAAAAAACAAAACCACACAAACAGAAATGAATCAATTTAGATGCTAATTATCAGTGATTACCAAACCAGTATCTTTACTGAGTATCACTTAAAATGGTGCACAATTGTCTGCACATAACTGCTGTGAAATTAAAGGGCTTGATTAAAGTAATAGCGTTACTATACCAGTTGCATCCCACCAACAATCAGATTATCCCTGTAGAATAGATGTGTTCACATAATGACCAATATCTTCTAATAAAAAGAAAATTACATATTTTCAGAAACTGTCAGGTAATTGCATAATTTTATTAAAATTGCAGCCATGCTGGAGCTTTCCATTTGCAGCTACACTGTGAAAACATACCACATAATTTTTCTTACAATTTCTAGTAGCAGATATCTTCTGAATAATTGTTCCTGATCATCATTATAATTAGTTTGGAAAACACATATTGTTTCTCTTTTAGTGAGAAATAAATCTTCAGATTAATTTTTATCCTGAAACTAATAGTTTGGCATTTTTAATGTAAGTAAAAATTCACACACAGACAAAAATTATTTGAGTCAATTGAAATGTTTTAATTTTATTTTGATTTTTTATTTTATTAACAATAAATTTTCATATAATAATCACAGGCAAGTTTTAAATTATAGAATTTAAATATTAATAAAACTAACTAACGTAAAATAACCAAGTACATCTTTATTACTTGTACACCAAGACAACTGCCACATGTCTGTATTGGTATTCTTACTGATCACTTTTCTGTTTCAAATAATTATTCACTGGTTCTTATCTACAGGTCAACTTTAAATTAAAAGTGAACTTTTTAGCATAAAGCAAATTCCATGCCCTCAGCTATCCAGTTACAGTGGGTAACATCAATCTTGAACTAAGAACATGGGGAGGCAAGAGTAAAAAGCATTACAAACAAAGAATAAAAGGGAAATACATTATCACAGTCCATACCCCTCAGATCTTGTTTCAAGATGTCAGTATAGTTGCAGGAAAAAAATCTTGTAGCTTATTTATGATATGACAATAATCTTTAGAAACAAAACCTAAATTTTCAGGTTGCAAAATTAAGCAATGTTTGCATCCATCCTGGAACACAGGAAAGTAGTTCACAAAAGAGTTCTAGTTCCCTAAACTACTGTGACCCAATCCAGTTTCATGACTTTCTCAGCATTTTTGCTCACAAAACCTGTAAGCAAGCTTATTTAAAAGTTTAAAATCCATCTCTTCTGTTCATTTGCTATCATACAGTGTATTTGTACACACAATGATTTAGATGCAGACCTTCGAACATATACATAGAACTGTGTTTGTTCTGAGAAAGTGAAGTTACAAAACTGTGCAGCTGTTTCATTAGAATTTTGTTTTGCTATCAAAGTAGTGATTTGTAATTCATTTGTAAAAATCTAATTAATCTTTCTAGGTTCTAGTCACTAAAAGATGACTACATAAGCATTCTCTGCAGAAAAAGAAATGGCAATGCCCCCCAAGACCTATAGTGCAACATGTATGCTAGCTAATTCAAACTTCAATTAACAGACTTATCTGTAACTTTTCCACTATCTACTGCAGTATCTTGATTCAGTTGACACAGCTTTATGTGAAAGAGTAACAAAATGGACCCTTACTCTGCCAAGGACCCACAGGAATTAGAATATTAACAATATGACCTACACACAATACCTCTTAAGGTGCAACACTCCATTACCATAGAGGGGATCATTGACATGTCTCACACTTGTTTCAGCTGTATGCAACCCAACCAATTCAGTCAGGACACTATTTCAGTGTAGAGGAGCTTGCATCAGCATCAATGCCTGCTGAAGCATCTCCTGTATCTCTCCATGATACCAGCCCCTCACATCACCTCATCACCTCTCCCTCTTCCACCCGATATGTGCCATGACAGCTGTTTGCCAGGCTGCACTGTAAACCAGATTACTGAACTAATGCAGAATTAAAAGAGTTAATTCCCACAAAAATAGGAACACAAAGCAGTGGACAGGAATCCTTTAATTCAGCACTGCTGCCAACAAGGCAATATAATGAAACTGTGGCTTCATTGAATCAACTCGGAAAGGTTTTCTTCCCAGCCATATACACAAGTGACCAAAAAATAAAGCACAATTCTGCTGCAAGACATGCAATCCAAAGAAAGTTTTATGTATGAAGGACCATCAAACATACAGAGTATTAAACCTATCTTCAGGAATAATGGAATTCAACTGTATGACAGTAGAGTGCATACCATCAAAATCTAAATGCAATCATCTTTTTTCTTCAGAGACCAATTTATCTGATTTTACTACAAGTATTGTATTGTTTTACAATAAAAACTAAGGGAGGGGGAAGTTTTGTTAAAAATTTTTGAGACAAAAATAATTAATTGACAGGTACATTGAGCTGCATATGAGAAGGTCATGGTATTTTGAAAGATCTTGGCAGTGAGCCAATAAATTAAGGGCTGACAAAGTAGCTAGGCTGTTCCCTTTTGGTATTTACATTTGTCCTCAAGTTATCTTTTCACTACATAACTTAAGTCAAGAATCTTTTAAAACAAAATAAGCAATTGTAAATTATATCTTAATTTGCATATAAAACATAACACATCAATTAAATCTGTATTTTCCTTCAGTCTTGAATTATATTACTTTAGAACACAAAATTCTTACATTTATAGACTGTCTCAGGTAAGCACTTGATGAAATTGCATGAGATTTTTTTTAACCGTCATCACATAATATGAATACACAAAATCCCTACTCTAGTTGTACAATAGTGCTAGGTATCACCACACTTCCAGAACAATGCTTTCTTTGAAAAATTGATTAGTTTTCACTTTCAACAGGTTTTCTATCCCAATGATTTTATCTGGGCAGAGGAGAAATCAGTTCCAAAACAAGAGACCTCTGAGTACCCTTACCTTTTTTTTTTTTTTCTTTGTAATTAAGCTAAGCTATGACCAAGAGATTCAGGACATTTGGGGAAGGAAGTTTCCTGTATTAAAATTTGAAATTTGTTTTTGTTTCTCTCTCCATCTTGCTGGAACAGGCTCCACTTGCATTCAGCAGACAGGGAATAATTCAACTATATTCCTCAAGGACTGACTGTATCTTGCCTAAGAAAAATGAATGAAGGCTCCCTAGGAAATCTGATAAACGTTGTTCTACATAACTCTTTTATCCTACAGTGAATTTTGATTTTGTTCTTTTATGGTTGCTACTTAAGTCAGTGGTTAGAAAACACCTGAGAGGTAACTTATTTGATGGTGCACAAACATGAAATTTCAATGCCTGCATTTCATAGTTACAGGATTACAGAGAAATAATAGCACATCTTTTTAATACAAGTCAAACTTGAGATTTGTTGCAGTTTAGGACAGTAAAAAGCAATATATAGCAAGCTTCAGATATTTTAAGAGAAAGGTAGGAATCAAGCATCCATTAAGATACAACTTAAATTGGATGGACAGAGGGCACATATCACATTAGAGGATACGCATGAACAGAAGGAAATTTAAGCACACTTTCTATGAATAAGGTGGATGACGAAGAGGCCTAGAGTTCATATCTTCCCTTCTGCCCACTTCCAAGGGAAGCCAAATTTAGGATGGAATGCACGACCTTTAGCTGAGGCTCACAGAACAGGCGCCAGCTCTCTCAGCAAAGAACACAACGTATCTGACCCCTGATGTGTGCAACACCAGCAATATTTCATAACAAGGCTCTCTGCAACTTAGTCCTGGAAAGAGTGGGTTCTTTTTTGATTTTTTTAAAGTTTTCAAATAAGTTTGCTTGCTACTTATCAGACAAAACCCACAATTTCAAACTCAATTTTAATCAAATATAATCCAAAGGAAATATAAACTTTCTTTATATGCCAGAGGGGTTTGTGTTGTTTATCTTTTTTTTACTGCAAATCTCAGATATTCAAGAGGAGACAGAACTTTCATATTTTTCATTCCTCAGAGCACAAAACAATCCACAACTTAATATGCGTGTTTCTTTGAAGATTGCAAGATAAACACGGAGAAGACCGAAGAGCTGTTTTAAAACCAGACTGTCTGCTTTCTGGGTCAGTAAGACATGTATTGTCAGAGAGACAATTTCAAGACCCAGTCGAATAATGTTGTTCTTCTTCACTTTTCCCTGTCTGGACAAAATCAAGGACTTCAAACAATTACTTATTTCCAGAAACAAGCACTTCTACTGACTGGAAGTCAAGAATCATAAAAAGTCTACATTTTTAAGTAGAATAGAGTATTTTGACACCATCTTTGACACTAATCAAACATGCAAAAGTGTCTTGCAAAAGTTGGAAAAGAGTTCTAGAACCACACATTTTTATACTGTATTAATATGTATGTAAAAAATCACATTCCCATGTTGCTTATTTTATGAACATACTCTCCTGTATTCCATACCTACAAAAGTTCAATGTCATGTCAACAATAAATGAATGTGTGATGGAGGATTTTTTTTCCATGAACTAAATGGTGGGCTTTCACAGTTCAATTCCAGCATTCTAGGTTTCAGCACTCCCCAGCAACATTACCAGGGTAATCCAGTATGCAAAAGCAAAAATCCACCAAAATTATGGTTGGACTCTCTCAGGCAAAAAGTTCTGTCTACTTATCATATGTGGAAACTGTCAGATAATACAGCAGGACCAAAAGATATGTGTCAAAGATGAAATAACAGATTGTGTTATTTACAGCATTTGCTATAATACTCCATTTTATATTCCTTCCTTTTTCATAGAGGAAATCTTCTTGAATATACTGTGTAATACTCAACATAAAGGGAAAATAAAAAAAGGTATTTTATTGATTTTGGAAATACCTGTGGCCCAACTATGGACCTAAACCATAGCTGTTCTTCTCATTCCACCTGCTTGATTCAAACCTTATTATCAAAGTTTTAGGATTGACTAGATTTTCCTTTCACAGGTTGTTCTTCACTGTAACTAAGGGGAGTGGAAAAAGCTTCATGCTGTTATCTATATATGTCAATTCTAAGGCCCTGCAAGGGATAATATTATGAAATACATCAATCTTAAGGAATCAATTTTAAGTTCTAAAAACACTGCCAGTCATCCACCCATTTGTAAGAGGAACAACTATAAACCTCAAAACATACGGCCATGGAAAAAGAGGTTTCCAGAATCTTGCAAAAGTATATTTAAAAAATACCAATAGTTACAGTTATAATGATTTTCTTTGTAGATTAGAAAATACTTCAGAAAATTATTTAAAATTATCGTCGGTAAACGGTTAATCACGACTTGCGTCAGGAGCAGTTTCTCCTCAACGCATGACGGCCCTTACAACACACTGAACTTTTAAGCGTCCCACAAGCACGACACGCACATGATGCCGCGGCAAGCTGCTGAAAGGGCAAAAAAACATAAAAGTCTGTCAACCAAACAACACACCACAGATCTTTTTACCTGCAAAAAAATATTTCGTAGTTCAGCGGGATCCGCTCTTTTGGTTGACTGCACCTGTAAACACAAGCAGGTGAGTGCCTCGCTCGGCGGGCTACTGACAGCGCGCCGGGAAGAGCCGCCCGGCGCCCCGGTAAGGGCGGCGGCGGCAGGTCCCACATCCAGCCGACGCGCCCCGCGGGCTGCCGGCGGGGCCCTGCGGGAGCGCGGTGCCGGTGCCAGCCGTCAGGCTCGGGGCTGCCCGGCAGGAGCCGCGGCTTCCACCGGGCCCCACCCGCCCCGGGGCCTCGCCGCTGCACCTCGGGAGGCGGAGGCAAGGCAGGCTGCGCTGCCCCTTCCCCGGGGCCGCCCCGCCATCACCGCCCCCGCCGGCGGCTTCCCCTGGACCCCCGCGGGGCTCCGCCGCCGCCGCCGCCGCCACTGCCTCCCCCCGCCGCCCGCCTCCCGTCCGGCCTCCCCGCGTGGGCAGGCAGGGTGGGGGTCCGCCCGTCTCCTCCTACGGCGAGCGACGGAGGGGGGAGAGTCACCTTGACCGCCATGCTGCGCCCGCCGAGAAGGAGGAGGAGCCGCCCGCCGCTACCCACCCGCCGCGCCGCCGCAACAGCCGCCGCCTCAGCGCAGCGCTGTGGTAACGAGCGCCCTGCCCTGCCCCGCCCTGCCCTGCCCCGCCGGGCACGGCCCGGCCCGGCCCGCTGCCGCCGGCGGGCTCCCCTCAGCGGCCGCCGCAGCTCCCCGGGAGCGAGCGGCCCGACGCGGAGCCCACCGGCACCAGCCACGGCCCTGCGTCCTGCCCCGCCTGCTCTCGGCCGGCGCCCCGGGCAGCGGTGGTGTCGCCACCGCCCCGCCCCGCCTTAGCCGCCCCACGGGCCCTCCGCGACCCTTACCGTGGGTCGGACGGCGTGTCACCCGCCCCGCCACCGGGAGCGCGGCCGTGGGTCCTTGCTGGGGGGCCGCTGGTAAGCACCTCCACGGTGCAAAACTGAACTTCGAAAATTCCGCTGAAACTCACTTCTGGCTTAAGACGTGCAGCCGTTTCCTTGAGGGTCAGCAAAGCTCGACCTGTTGATACCAAGTGCTTGGAACTGCTTTACGCACCGGTGGTCTGGCACCACGGCTGCCAAGTTGTAGCAGCCCCATATTTCAAAGAAAGAAGCAGAAAGTAATCAATTCTCTCTGGAATTTAGTGGCTTCTGGCAGGCTCTTGTAATACATTTAGTGGTAGAGTAGACTGACTTGCTTTATACCTCAAAATGAAAAACATGAAGGCCACAGCTTCAAGAAAGGAGAAATTTGTACTTTGGACAGTTCAATCACAGTACGTGCTTATAAAACCTTACTTAAATAATCATGTTCTGTCTTGCTGTATTCTTCAAGGGCCCTGCAAGATAGTCTTATTACATGTCACTGGAAAATGAGGACAGCTGCTGTTATACCTCAGGTAACACAGTGAAATATAAAACTACAATATAGTAGTTGGGAGTTTATAATGGTAGTTGTGAAACAATGGGTCATATCTCTTAAGTTAAAACAACCAATTTGCTCTATAAAGCAGAACTTTTTGGCTCCTGGTCAACAAACACTTCCTGAAGATAGCTTGGAATTCACATAATGTGTCTATATACCAGCTGATGGCAGAAACAGTTTCACTAGAAATCTGCCTATTTGGTATTTAACTGCTAAGCCATCTTGTTCATCAAGTCCACATATGCGCTAGTTGCAGGCGAAGTGTGCCTCAGAAAACAGACCCTTAGAAGAAAATCATGGAAATCTTCCAGCAGTAGCTGTAACAAGTGGTTCAGCACATGGCCTTTTTTTTCACTAATAATAAAGCTCTATTTTTTTCCTCGGTGGGAGTCTGACAGCAGCACTGAGCCATGTGCTCTGTATGTGAAGGGAGCATGGCAGTAAGAGGCTGCACTGCCCGCCCCAAAGCAGGCAGATGGCGTATTGTGGGCCTCTTCACGATGGGTTAACGTTCGTTGTTGGGGCCATGTGGAGCCACCCGCAGCCAGCGCAGACGCCGCTCCCGCAGCCGGGAAACGCCGGGGGTTGCCGAGGGACACCCCGGGGGAGACCGGGGACCCCAACGACCGCCGCAGGTGCGAGGCCGCGGAGGGGCGCGCTGCGCATGCGCGCCGGCCAGGCCGCCCCCTGCGCGGGCCCCCGGGGGCAGGGCTATGCAAACGAGCCGTCGCGCGGACGCGCGTCTTAAAGGCGCCCGCCAGGCCGGGGCGGTGCGCGAGTCACGCGTGCGGGTCACGCGCCGCGCACAGCGCGGTTATTGGCTCCTCGCCGCGCTTCGGTGGGCGGAAGCGGAAGCGCGTGTGCTCATTTCCGCCGAGTGGGTGCGCGGGTTGATTCGTTCTGCCCGGGTGATTCGGTCGCCGCCTCCGCCGCTCTTCGAAATGGCGGGTGAGTCCGCGGGCCCGCTCCGCCCTGACTGCCGGGGGGAGCAGGTCTGTGCGCTGCTGGTGCCTCCCCGGGAGGGGGAGCGGGTCTGCGGGGTGGCCGCGGCGGGGCCGGCGGGTGAGGGTGCCAGTGAAGGCTGGCTGCTCTGGGCTCGGTCGGCCGGCGGGAATTGGGGTGCGGGGCGCTGCTGCCTCTCCGTCCCCTGCTGCCCGGGACAGGGCGCCCACGGGCTCGCGGCCCCCGCCTTTAGCCGCAGGAAGATGGAGTGTACCGCCGTGTCCGCTGGTTCGGTGGGGATCAAAAACCCAAGCTTGCTCTTACTTAAAAGTTGATTATCTGAAGCGATAGGAAGGAACTTTCTGATGAGATTGCTGGAATGAAGTGGGGGCTGGATTTGTAAGGCACTTGAAAAATGCCATAAGTGAAACACGTCTTCTGTGCTGGGTTATGCTTTGAAAAACAGGCTTAGGTGTAATTTGTTTGTTACATCCTTCTGCATCATCTCTGGAAGAGAAGTAGTAGCTAGATAATTGCTGGTGGTGTACATGCCACTGTGGCTCGTGAACACCTGTTTATGGAAAAGACTTAGTAGAAACGCTTGTAATGCCCTGGAACATATTACTTAACATGTTCTTTAAAAGAAGCTTACTTAAAGCTTTAAAATGTGTTTTCTTGGTAATAACTTAGAACAATTAAATGCTTTTAATGTAATGCCCTTCATTCTCAGAAAGTAAGTAGAGAGATACTTGTGGTCTGTTTTCTAGTTCCAGAAAAAGCGTTTGAGATAAGTTTATGTTTCTTTTACACATTGTAGCATGCTGTAGCTCTATTAACCTACTTGTTCAATATTTTTGGTGGTTTTGTGTTGTGTGTGTTTTCGGGTTTTGAGAACCTTTTTCTAAACATGTCCATTGAGTAATATTGACATGTAGATTGTATACCTCTTAACTCTTTTGTGAAAAAACTTTTCTTCAGGACTCACTGCTATGGAGAAGAAGCTGGCTGAATACAAGTGTAATACAAATGAAGCAATTCAGCTGAAACTAGGTAATGTGACTTTTTAAATATAGTGCATTTGATACTGGAATACTTTAGTTCCTTCTTAAGAAACTTCCTTATACTTAAATCCACCTAGGTTTTAATATGTACATATTAATGTAAATATACAAACTCAAGTATAAGAATACATAGTCTAGTTTTGTTCCTACAGTTAAAGTACAGCTGTAGGAAACCAGTCCTGTCTGCATAATAATGTCATCAGCAATTTATTAGCATGTTACCAGAGTGCATTGGAATTACCTCTTGTCCTATTTTCTTGAAGTATTCAGTATGTTCTTTTGGTTTCTCTTTTCTGTAATCCTTATGCTATGGGGCAGTCTGAAGTATGTGTCGTCTTCATGGTGACCACAGCAACAGAACAAATTTCTTCAGGGCTGCAAATATCTATTTTTTTTTTTTAACATCTTTCACTTTTGTCTCTTTGAGGGGAAAAGTAAAAAATAAAAGCAAGAAAGAAGACTGGGAAGTGGTGTTGGGTTAGGGGTTTTGCTGCCTTCCTCTTCCCCTTCCTCCCCCCCATCCCCCCCAACATCTGGATTACACAAGACATTTTAATGAATAATGTTTAAAAATCAGACTAGAAAAAAAAGTCAGTCTTTCAAGAACTGCTTATTGGTCTCTCTAGGTAACTTACTTCCTGGGGTACCCAGAATACAAACAGAATTATTGATCTCTTGGTGGACTTGCTTATATATCTCAGACTGATGTGAAGCAGTAATAACTTGAAGAATAAGGCATACCTATCTAAATTCTAATCTTTCCAGCCCTTCAGCATTTTGTTCCCTTGAGCAGTACAAATACTATAATTTATTAAGAAAATAAAAGTAATGAACCTGTTAAGCACTCTTTAGAACTACTCCTAGCAATCTGTTCCATATAGTTTAGTAACATTTTTAATACACAGTCACCTTTGGCTTGTGAGCCAAAATGTCGTTATAACCAGAATACTGAAGTTTTTCAGCCATTGTAATTGTGAAGTATTTCTATTCATCTTAAACATTATTTCAAATAATGGTTTTATGACTAGATCTAACGTTTTATTTTTCACTTCCACCTTTCTAAAACCAAAGGAAAGAATGAGACATCATGACATCTGAGTGAATTTTGTTTAGAAATCTGAGGAGCTACTATATCAGGTTTCAGGATGACTGCAAGAGGGGTTTTAATTAAGGTACCATCTCAGCTAATATTTTTAGCTTCCTTTTTTTTTTCAGAGAGTGTAGATGTTCCACATTAAAATTATACTAGGAGAAAGGATGAGAAGCTACAAAGTGGTACCATTTTAAAAAAATATATATATTTTCCACGTGCATATAAAGGCAGTCATACGCTGTCCCTTTCAGGATCCAGATTTCTTCCATGGTGACAGTTCAGAATTGCTCTTTGGGTTTTGTTTCGTTTTGTTTCTTTTTTGTGTTGTTTTTTTAACACTGCTACTTTACTTCAAATCTGTTGTTCTCTGAGTTAAACCTATGAAGACAAGAGCAACCATTCTCTTGCTTTCAAGAGGGCCAAACTTTTATCTTGTCACTAGGACACTCCTCATTTGCATTTTTCTCTTTGAATAATTCCTTTCCAATGTTATCAGGAAAAACCTCTTTTTTTTCATCTCTGCTTTTACTGGAGTAAAGTGGCAATGAAGCTGTAGTTCAGTATTCCACATGCTCTAAAAACAAAAGCTTTAATAGCAACGTTAACTCCTACAACATTGCATACTTATGCTAATGCAGTATTAATTCATTCAGTGTGTTGTCTTGAGCTCTTTGTGCCTTGTTAATGTGGCTGAATTATCACTTTAGTGCCTAAGTTAGGAGTTGAATCCCTTCCAACTATAGGTAACTTTTTTTAACTGCAAATACGCAGAGGATGTTTGGGAACCAAGTTTCTCAGTCTACTAAAATTTTTCCTAGAAAATCATACTTCAATCTCTAATTTCATCCACTAAACACAAAACATATATTTTATGATGGAAGAACTCCTGTCGCAATTGCTGTGAAGCAACTGCTGTAACTCTATAAGTGTGAACAAAATGCTTATTGAGTAAGTTACTGAGTTTGAGTAGATTCTGTTATAGTGAATATTTTTACATTACCAGAAAAGACCTTGTTTAATACTAAGCTTTGAGGAAAGGTAAAGAGTTGGGGGGGGGGGGGAGGAAGAGGGGCAGAAATCACTGTTTTGGTAATATGGGTACAAGTACCAGTATAGTATTGGTGCAGCTGTTCCGTATGTATCCATGCTGATTCTCCAGAACCTTGACATGAACATAA